ACACGGGAATGACCGTCACGTACCGATGCTGGTGGGCAACGCAGAGCTGTGTATCATTGCAGACCGGCCCGCAGCCCAGCACTGTGGCTGGGGAGGATGGGGTGGGCTTTGGAGAGGACAGAGCTGGTCCCAAGCTGAGGCCGCTGCAGTCCTGAGCCTCAGTTCTTGCAGCTGTGGCCCCTGCCAACCCACAGGGCCGTGGACTGGCTGGGTCAGCGTGTCCCTGTCCCTGCCCTTCCCTAAACATGGTCTGAGGAAGTCACCGTGGACAAGACAGAAGCATTTTCCACAGAGAGGACCACAGCAGGCCGAGGTGGTGGATGTGGAGGGCGTGGGGCACGCACCTGCTGCCTGTCCCGGATTTGGACTTGAGCTGGCCAGTCCCGCAGGGTGCCGAGCACTGAGCTCCCACATTTCGTCCCAGCAGTACCCACAGCAGCGAGTGCAGCCTTCCTGCCTTCATTTCAGAGGTGGAGAAACTGGAACCCAAGACATCAGCCGCCCGCCCTGTTCACGGCCCTGTGGGAGGCAGGGGCCTGAGTCGGGGACACAGCAGCAGCCTGCTTTTCTGCTTGGAGACTGGGGCTTCCCCTTCTTCCTCCTCATCGTCAGCATTGCTGTCACTTTACAAGAAAACCTAAGCAGGAAAGCGCCTTCTTATGCCCCATGTCTTACATCTGTGGGTGTCTGCTCCTGCTGAGGGCCCGGCCGAATTTACCAGCAAGTAAACTGGATGTTTCAAATCCTGATTCCTAGAAAATCCTAGACACGGTCCTTAAACCACGCTGAAGGAAGCAGCGGGTGCTCTTCCCCGGGTGACAGTACAAGGAGGGGCTTGGACGGAGATCAACGTCACTGGAGAAAGCGGTGTCACCGTGGTCACGGGTGGTGTTTCGTTATGAAAGTGCGGGTGTCCCCAGGAAGCCAAGAATGTCACTGCTCCCGCAGGGACACGGCTGTCACGGGAGAAGTGGCAGAGCCCGGTGCTGCGTGGCACTCTGGACAATAGGAGTGCCCCGCCTGCTGTGAATGGGATGTTTGAAAAATCGTCCCAGGGAGGAGCGGGGCCCAGCCGTACTGAAGCACAGCGGTCAGTGCTTGCACAGGCCGGTGTCCTTGTGCCCTGGAGCTGCTGTGACTTCCACTGGCAGATAAGAACAGGCGCCTGCCCCTGATGTCAGCTCCTGATGTCAGCTCCTGGGAGCTGATGGCCTGCTGTTGGCTGAGATTGTGTGCACAGACGTTAGGAGCTGGCCACATTCATACTCTTAGAAGTCCCCCCCGCCGTCACTCTCCTAATGGGGATCAAACCCAGAGGACACCCAGCTACATCCCCAGTCCATTTGGTTGTTATTTTCTTTTTGAGACAGAGTCTCAGTAGTTGCCCAGACTGGTTTAGAATTTCGGATCCTCCTGCCTCGGCTTCCCCATTTTCTGGGATTATAGGCTTGTGCTACCACGCCTGGCTCACAAAAACCATCCTAACAGATACATTTGCTCTCTACCAATTTAATCTTCAAGGGAAGCACTAATGGAAGTAAAAGGGAGGCTGGATAAAAAGAATTCAGCTCCCCCTAGCACCCGTGAGCTCTTGAACGGACTACAAGGTGCTCTCTGTCAGCACTGATGACAACCTTTCCTCATGAGCCACATTAAGTTGCAAACTGTGTCATTTGTGTCTGTCCCACCCTTGAGCTTTGCTCTTGGGTTGGGACTGTGGAGAGTCCACAAAGCCCGGTGGTTCGTGACCACAGTGGCATCGCACTGCTCAGACCAGCTGGGTTGGGCAGCACCCGGGGCAGGCGAATCTCGGGGTCCTCCACCTCAGACACCGCAGAGAGAGAGCAGAACAGTGTGGAGAGCTTCTGCGACAGATTCCCTGGGCACCGGGGCAGATCACAACAGGTGACAGGGCGTTGTTGCAACCCTGCTGGTGGAGAGCCTGCTGTCCAGGAGCACCAGCCCTCTGCATTCCTGTGCCACTGTCACACAAAAAATGAAGACTGGGTTTATCCAGTGCCCTTCCCTTGCTCATCACCCAAGAGCGACTTTGGATGCCAATGCCGTGACAGAATGTGGCACCGCAAGCCAGGAGCATGGAAGACGATGGTCACCGTGGGAACAGACCCAGGCCTTGGGGCCACCTGCCCTGTGCTTGTGGCAGAGGCCTCCTGCCTGGCGCAGACGGGCCTGCTGAGCTCCTGGCCAGCCCCATCCTCTCTGCCGGGGAGGTGTTGGCTTATGCTCTGGGGTCTTCGCTCTTTCCAGGGAGCAGCAGGCAGGCAGAGGTTCTGCCCGGGCCTGGGTTGAGCGGCCAGAAACAGCACATTTCCAGCTGCGCAGCTGGATTGACTGTGTCTTTCTCAGTCGTTTGTGAATCCTAATAACGCCGTTCATCTCGGGGAACAGGCATAACGCCACTTCTTGATTCCTTTGACTTCCCCTCCCCATCCCACCTTCCTATTTCCTGAAATTAAACTTTGGGTTTCTCCGTTTAAAAAACCATGCGAAGTTGGGCCTTCTGTGTCCAATTTCCCTTAGCTTTATGGTCTCAGGATCCATCATTTTCCTACAGATGACTCAGATGCATTGGATGCAGGGGGTAAAAATAAAGGCCACTGATGTGTTTCCTTTTTTGCCTATTTGTTGTCTGTTTCTGTTAGTACTGGCTTGAGGACTGAGGCTCCTGAGGAAGGAACGTGTGGTCTGGTAGGAGGGGAGAGGACCAGCTGGAGGCGAAAGGGTGTCAGGCTCTTTGCTGTTTCCTTTTTATTTCTGTAACCGTCATATTAAGGCCATGCAAATAAAAATCACCTTAAACGAGAAATCTGATTTCATAAAACAAGAGCTGAAGAACTAAACTGCTGCGAGGGCCAAGGGTTGTGGTCAGAGGTGCAGTGACTTCTGGTGAGCTGAGCACGTGGAACCTCACCAGCAGCGCTCGTGGCTGAGAGGATGGAGGACAGGGCCACGTCGTGACTCAGGTGCCAAGGCCGACCTTCAGAGGCAGGGTCCGTGCTGCCTGGCCACTGTCAGAGAGTTGGGGTGTGGGGTTCTCCTCCAGCTGTTGTGCTTGTGAAGCCCTTAGATCTTTGGCCCCTTTAGCCCTGAGCCCCCACCCAGATCCTACAGCCAGACTTGCAATAAGGGTGCAGAGGAAACCACAGCCAGGTTGGCAGGAGGGGACACAGCCTCCTCCACAGTGCACTGTCCCCGCATCAGGGATGTCTGTGTGCCTTAGGTAGCTGCTACCTGGAGAACTAACTCTTCTCACCCCTAGGACAGCGGCCAGTAGTCTCTGCCACCCCGCTGTGGGCCCCCACATGTGAGCATGGCTTTGCATGATTTCATATTATACTTTTTTTTTCCTTCTGCATGGTTCTTCATTTGGCTTTGGAGTAGGTTTTTGTTGGGGGGGTTGTTGTTTTTTGTTGTTAGTCCGTTCTTGCAGTACATGTTTACGCTCCTTGTGTGGGGCTGGTGCATGCACACAGCACGTCTTAATTCCTTTTTTTGTGCCTTTTCCTCCCCTCCCTACCCTACCCCTATCTCTTGGTCCCCTTCTCATTCGACAAAGTGCTACCTCCCTACTTCCCATTATCTATCTTTTATTTTGCTCTTTATTTATACTTTGAGTTTCTTATATAAGAAAAACCATACAATATTTGAGTTTGTGTGTTTGGTTTCTCTCCTGTAACATTATGGTGTCAAGGTGCATCCATTTTCCTACACATGAGTCAAGTTTTATCTTTCTTTATGGCAGAGCAGTACTCTAGTGTGTGAAATCCCATTTTTGTTGTTGTTGTTTATCCATCTGTTGATAGACATACAGGGCATTTCAAAGGTTTATGCTGCTATAAATATGGTTATGTGTGCCTCACCATGATAAGATGTCTTTCACTCTTTCAGGATGATACTTAGAAGGGGAATAGCTGGGTCAAATGGAATTTCTAGTTTCAATTTTTTGAGAAATAGCCACACTGATTTCCATAGGGTTTGTACTAGTTTACACTCCCACCAACAATGCAGAAGGGTCGTTTTTCCAAGTAGCCTCTCCGGTATTTGTTATTATTTGACTTTTTTTTTTTTTTTCTGGTACCGAAGATCAAACTCAGGACCTTGTGCTTTCAAGGCAGGCGTGGCGCCACTGAGCTACATCCCAGCATTACTTGATTTTTTGATGATGGCCATTCTTTCTGAGGTAAAATGGCATCTCAGTGTTGTTTTAATTTGCATTTATCTAATGGCCAGCGATGTTGAACATTTTTTTCATGTAATTATTGGCCATTGGTACCTCTTCTGTGAAACGTCCATTTATCTCAGATGCCCATTTTTCAATTGGGTCTTTTATTTTGGGAGGCCAGATTTTTTTTTAATTCTTTGCATGCTCTAGATATGAGTCCCCTGTCTCGTTCTGTAGGTTTTCTTTTTGTTCCGTGGGTTATATTATTTGTTGTGCACAAACTTTTAAATTTCATGTGATCCCATTTATGGATTCTCAAAGCCATTTGCTGTGCAACTGGGGTTTACCCTTACCTGTGATCTATGATCTCAGGAGTTTTACCTATCTTGCCTTCTGGTAGGTTAAGTGTTTCTGTGTCACCACTTAGTTCTTTGACTTATCTTGATTTCAGTTTAGTATATGATGAGATATGTGGGTCTGTCTTCAATCTGCTGTGGATAGCCAGTTTCCCAGCAGGAGCTGTCTTTCTTCCTGTGTGTGTTTTTGGACCCTTTGTCAAAGAGCGAATAGTTGACTGTGCTTAGGGTTGTGCCCGCATCCTCTGTTATGCTACCCTGATCCTCTTGTCTGTTTTTGTGCCACTTCCATGCTGTTTCTATCATGGTAGCTTTGTAATATAACTTCAGGTCCAGGATTGTGATGCCTCCTGATTTTCTTTTGTGCCCTGGATTGCTTTATACTTACTGATTTAACATATACGTTTGTCCATGTTGCAAAGAGTCAGATATGCTAACTTTTGAAACGTGCTTCTGCGTAGATCTGCAATTACGTCGGCCCTGCCAAGGTGATTGTTCAGCTGGTCACAAACGGGAAGAACATACACCTGCATGCGCACAGCCTGGTGGGCAAGCACTGTGAGGATGGCGTCTGCACGGTCACTGCGGGCCCCAAGGACATGGTGGTCAGGTGAGTGTGCGCGATGCTGGGAGGCGGGCTGAGGTGGACACAGTGCCGAGAAGTGGCCTTACCCAGATCACCGGAGACCTCAGCAAAAGCCAGGAGGTCTCGTGCTGCCATGTGGACCCCGGAGGAAGGTGGCCTCTTGCATGCAGGGCTCTGGCCCAGTTATGCTCCCAGAGGTGGCCCAGTCTGGAGGATGGATTGCAGGGCCTGGGAGGCATTTGTTCCACTTTCTACAAGATTTTTCTTCTCCTGGAAATAAAAACAAGAACAAATTCAAAGAAACCTAACTATAGAAGAAATCATCATTTTGTGGATGGTTTTCTACATTCTTGATGTTCCTTTATTGGATTCAAAAAGTGTGCAAAGGAAGAAGCCAAGGAATGCAGATTTGCTTTGGTGTCAATAGGCCTGGAACGTAGACAGAAAGGGACACACTCATTTAGGCGCCGGTACGATAAAACAATTTTTAATGAATGAAATTTTGCAGGAATAATTTCAATCCAGAACCAATCAAGAAAAATGTTAGTAAGATGTATTTATTGTGCTAAAGAATAGATTTTATTTTTCCTTTTCCCAAAACACTGGAATAGCATACAACACTGCAATTTAGCACATGATATATACTGATCTACGAAATCAGTAATCCCCAAAATGGTGATTTTAAGTTCCACTTTGAGACTCCTTAAAATAAAAGCAGAAATTTTTAATTTTGTTTTATTGTTTTTAAAACATATCCCACAGCATTGTAATCCTAACTTAAATATTTATCTTAAAATCCTAAGAAAGCAGTTGCTCAAATCCACTATGATTAAGCTAGGGGTAGCCTTGAAGGCTTTTAATTCTGGTCAAGTTCTGAGCTGACTGGCTGGGAAAGTTGAGCTATTGCGTCCCTAGGCAGTTCTCTGACTGAAAATACTCCAGAGGGAAAAACCTAGAGTGAGGGCTTCCTTTTAAGTCACAGAACTCTTCCTCTTTCAGTGCTAGAAAAAAACACTCCAGATTGAAGGAAGAGGCTTGGACTGGCTTGCAGCCTTCGCGAGAGCTTTCTGCAAGCTTGTCACAGCGTCCTCTCCTCGGAAGACGCCGGCTCCTCCTGTGGCCTCAGTGGGCTGCATTCTACTTAGGATCCCACCCCACCCCAACCCACCCACAGGGTCTTTGAACTCAGGGTGGCTATCAGAGCGGCAGGCTGAGGGAGCCTGGGGCTTCTGCAGATTCGGGCCTGCGGGCTCCTGTCCCTGTGAAGAGCCTTTTCTCCTTGGTCCTCTTCAGTGTGTGTCATAATCTTATCTCTGAGCGGGAGTTGTGGGCACAGTTCCCTGTGAACCGAAGCTGTGACCGGAAAAACTCGCAGGATGTCATCTGAAATTTGCTGTCTCCGCGGTTCTGGGTAATATTCCCGGGTGATTTCAGAAGGAACAGTGGTTGTTTGTTTGGGGCCTTGGGCAGGAGTAGAAGTAAATGCCCTTTCTCAGGTAAAGTGAAGAAACTCCTCCACTCTCCCACAGCACATCCGGGTGGGAGCTCAGGAGTTTGGAGCAGTCACCATGGTTTGTACATTCAGCAAATACTGTGCGTGCCTAGACCCCGAGTCCCCTCTGCGTCATGCTGGTTTGGTGAAGCTCCGCAGGATTTTCTTCCCTAGAACCTGTCACTGAGAAACGTGACCAAGGAGAAGCCGCCTGAGAGTAACACCAGACCCAGGCCTTTCTCGTTCACTGTTCGTGGAGCATTGGTTCTCCCTGTCATGTGACTTTTAGCTGAGACATTTTTGCTCACGTGTTTTCCCAAGGACACTGTTTCCGCCACTGTTCATCTGCCTGTCTGCTGCGCCCAAACCAGTTGCTTTTTCATAGTAAGAGCAACTGGAAGCCTGCGTCCTGGTCTCCCAACGCTAGGGCAGCTGCAGGAATCTGTAGAGACCTTCACTTGTCTCATCCTAGAGGATGAGAATCTATCTCCAGGCTCTGCAAAGTTGTGGACGGAGCTGAGACAAGCTAATGGTTCAGAGTAACAAGAGCAGACCTGCCTGGCGTTTCTGCGGCAGGCGCCGATTACTGCTCTCTGGTTCTGACTTGCAGGCCGGGATATCAAACAGAGAAAGTTGGGGTGGCGGCCAAACTCATTTCTCAGGTTCTCCGTGCTAGGAACGGCACAAGACGGGCTGTCTTCAACAATACAGATTAAGGGCCGGGGATTTAGCTCAGTGGTTCCCCACCTGCCTGGCAAGCACAAGGGCCCAAATTCGATCCCTGGTACCAAAAATAAAATACAGATTAGACTAAGAGCACAGATTCCCAGCTGACCCAGGTCCAACACATCAAAGAAGATGCATAAAAATGGCACCGGTGAGAGAAGTCGCCTTTGGTTACCAAAAAGATACCTTTATTCACGTTCCTCTTCCTCTCTCTCAGCACGAAGTCCCTTTTCTCAAAGTGACTTTGTATTAAAATATTCATGTTTTAAATACCCCAGTCTTTCTAATCTTTTAAATTAGCTTTTATTTTATCTTCTTTCTTATTTATTTACTTATCCTTTACTGCCTTTCTTGATTAAAAAATAATCTTTGTTTGATATTTCATTCTGATTCAGAATATCAACAACTTTTCAACCACACTTAAAGTCCATAAAATTTTATTCAAGGTCTCTTTTTCTTTTTAAAATTAATACATGCAATGTTTAGCAGCTGGTAAGTACTAGAAGTTGATCCGTGATGGTAGAATACAGAGAACTGGTGGGGGCCCTGGTGAGCTGTGGGGACCGCGTGGAAGGCCTGTGCTGCAGGTCTGTGGCCTGCTGGCCGGCATTGCCAGGGGGACTGGTTGGAGGGTGACCAGGATGGGCTGTTTGAACCCCAGGAGGGCAGAGTGACCCAGCCCTGAACGGATGACAGGCACAGAAAGGGGCCACTTCCAAATTTGATCCAGGGACAGGAACTCAGAGGTAGCCAAAGAAGACGCTGAGTATGAAAACCTCTGGAACAGTGCAGAGGCCTGGCCCTGGCTGCCAGTGTCCCTGTGTCGCTGTGTGCACACGCAGGTGCCAGTGTTCCCCTGGACTCCAGTCCGGTCGGGCAGGACTATGCAGGGCAGTGTGCAGATCACAACAGTAACAGTCACCAGGACCAACAGGAGGGTTTGCTGTGTACAGCATGGCTCCCTGGGACCCGCCCCACGGTTCCAGATCCTGAGGATGCTCTGCAGAGCCCCCAAAGTTGTATTGTAATAATTCTAAGATAATGCTTGTGTTGGTACTCAGGCAGCAGAATAGAGCATTTTAAGGAAGAATGGGGATTGTAGTCCCAGTCCCTTTATTAGCTATCATAACCTTTCTTTTAAACAATTTTTTTGTTTGTTTGTTTGTTTGTTTGTGACAGGGTCTCACTATGTAGTTGAGACTGACCTGGAACTCACTATGTAGCCCAGCCTGGTCTCGAACTCACAGCGATCCTCCTGCCTCAGCCTCCCGAGTGCTGGGATTACAGGCGTGTGCCACCAAGTCTAGTTTAAACAAAATTTTTAAATGTCAATTTATGTAGAATTTACTGCAATAGTCATCCCTTAAAGTATTCATGTCTGAAGTCGTGGCAAATACTCATTGAACTCCCATAGGAGAGGCAGAGAACAGTTCTGTCACCCCAGGCTTCCTGCGTCCCTTTATAGCCCAGCAGCCTGAGAAATGTGCGTTCCCTGGCCCTCTGGTTTTCAGGACGTCCTGCAGCTGGAGGAGTTACAGAATGCAGCCTCCTGGTGCCTGGCATCAGTGGTCAATTCCTTTTAATCACTAAGTGGCCTTGTATCCACCCACCTGTCTGAAGGACACTTTGTTTCTTTCTAGCTTTTCATGGTAAAGCACCTTTTGTGTGAGCCAGGGAAGTGAAATTCAAGGAGGAAGGCTAAGGTTGTGTTTGTGTCGACAAGAAGCCACCAAGTTGTTTTCAGAGTAACTGGACCTTGTCATATTCTTATGAATTCCTATTTGTAATCCTAAATTTTTCTTTCATGTGTATTCATAATTACCTGCTCTCATTTTCTATTTCCTTATGGAAATTTTCAAATGTGTAAAAGTAGAAAAAACAGGATAATGAGCAGTGGTTGCATGCATCCCCCACCACTGACCAATCTTGATTTTTATGGATTCCCATCTAGGTATCTTTTAGCTATTGACATCAGATTAATTCCACCGTGGTAAAAGAACAATTCATATGATTTGTATCCTTTCAAATTTATTGAGATTTATTTCATGGCTCAGAATATGGTGTGTCTTAGCAATTTTTCCTTGTGCCCTTAGAAAAGCATGTCGCCCCTTATCTTATTGAGTAGATATTCCATAAATTTGTTGAGTGGAGTTGTTTGATAGAGTTGTTAAAGTCATCTACATTGTCACTGGTTTTCTGTCTACTGGCTCTGTTGATCATCTGTTTCTCCTTTGCATTCTATAAAATTTTGCTTCTATTATAAGTACTATGAGCCTCTTTTTTTTGTTTGTTTGTTTTTTTTGTTTTTTGACACAGGGGATCAAACTCAGGACCTTGCACTTGCGAGGCAGGCACGGTGCCACTGAGCTAAATTTCCGGTCCTATGAGCCTCGTTTATTAAGTGCACAAGCCTTTAGGATTCTCAGATGCTTTTGATAAATGATGCCTTTACCCTTAGGAAAATGGCCCTTCTTTATCCTTGGGGTGTTGCTTGCACTGACAACTACTCCAGCCTTCCTTCTTTAACATTAGTGGGGAACACTTTCTGTCCATCCTCTTGAGTTCTAACCTGTCTGTGCATTTATATTCAGAACAGATATACACTGCACATAGTCGACTCATACTTTTTTGTCCAGCCTGACACTGTGGGTTTTAATTGGGTGTTTAGGCCACCTGTCACCAGTGTACTTATGGCTAGGGCTGTGTTTAAGTCTCCATAGCACTTAATCCTGTTTCTGCGTGTCACATCTGTTTATTGTTCTTTCTGTCTTCTTTTTCTTTCTGTTTTGGGGTTGTTATGATTTCATTTTATCTCCCATTTGGCTTATGTCCTGTTATTTTGTCCTGGCGGTAGCAGGGATCAAAGTCAGAACCTTGAGCTTGCAAAGCAGGCTCAGTGCCACTGAGCTAAATCCCAGCCCCATCCTGTTGTATTTTTAGGCAGCTATTCAAGGGTTGACGCTATACATCTTGACCCTTTAGGTAAAGTTCCACCCGTCATGTGTTGGGTGTGAACCCTGAGACAGTACACACTCACATCCCTTCTCTAGGCCTTGTGTGTGCTGCTATGTCGTATATTTCGCATTACGTACATGGTATAAATCCTGTAGAACATTGTTTTCCATTTTGGCCTTAGTTGAGTATCTTTAGCTTTTTTTTTTTTTTTTTTTTTTTTTTTTTTTTTTTTTGTTTTTTTTTTTTTTTTTTTTTTTTTTTTTTTTTTTTTTATACCAGAGATTAAACTCGGGACCTTGTACTTGTGAGGCAGGCAGCAGAACCACTGAGCTAAATCCCTGGCCCTAGTTGAGTATCTTTTAAGGAATTTCTTTTACATTACAGAAAAGTCACATTATATCAACACACTCATCATCGTTTGCAGCGCTCCTCATCTGTCTTGTGGGTCAGGACTTTTATCTGATCTCATTTTCTCCAGCCTGAAGCGCTTACCACAGCTTTTGTTACACAGCCATCTGTCCTCCTGCACCCGGGGAGTCTCACTTCCTCTCTCACTCAGGAGTGCGTGCAGGGCAGCGAGTCCAAAGCTGGCAGTTTCCCCTGTCCTTACGTCTGCAGCGTGGCCGGCCGTCCTGGTCACCAAGGAGGGCTCCTGTCCCTCATCTCTGTTCCTCACACATCAGAGGTCTCTCTGTCCTGCAGCCTCATCACAAGTTCCCTCCGTGTCTCTAGCTTTAAGCCTGCTGATTACGAAACACTTCATGTCATCCTCTTGGTGCGTCTTGTGCTTGGGCTTCCTTGGGATTCTTGGGTCTCCAGGCTTATATTTTTACTCCATTTAAACGCTTTGTTTAAACATCCATTTGTCAAATGCTTTTCCTGATCACTCCTCTTCCTCTTCCTCTGGAACCCCAACAACACATGTATTTGGCCACCTGTGATTGCTCTAAGCTCCCTAGTGACTTCTGCTCCTTCTCTCTCTCTCTTTCTACCCAGGGATCAAACCCATGGCTCTGTGCATGCTAAGCTCACACTAATGCTGAGCTGCACGCCTCCCTCCCCACATCTTTTCTCTGCGCTCTATGTTGGGTAATTCCATTGCTACACCTGCCAGTCCACGCATCCTTTTGTCCACAGTGTCTGCTGTGTCTTCCCTCTCATCCAGCGTCTTTCTCTCATCAGAAACTGCAGTTTGTGTCTGTCCAAGTCTGCATGGGGCTTCATTATGAATTATGGCTTTCTAGTGCTTTCCATGCCTTGTAATTTTCATGGGATGGCAGACTTGTGAATTGTGGTACACAGCCGATTTTTTTTACATGTCTCTAAGTATTTTTGAGGATCGGAGAGAGTTACATGTGGGCCCGTGTGGCTCTTCTGGACCAACTGCTGAGCGTTTGTGGGAGACCAGAGGAGCCCCAGGTGTTGCTCTGATGCCGTGGTGAGGCAGTGCCTGCTCTGAGCCCTGGGAGGTTCGTGACCCTACCCACCCCTGTGTCCACGCAGGAATTGTCCTCCCGCTGCTCTGGGCTGGCTTTCTTGCCTGAACTCCAATCCCACCTGCTGAAGGCTCAGGGACACCCCCAGGGTCCGTGTCCCCTTGAGGTGCCCGCCTGTGTCCTGCCTGCCTCAGCCTCCCAGGTGTCAGTTCTGCTCTGGCTGGGGGAGGTGGCGGCCGTGCTGCCCCTCCCAGGCTGTCCAGGGCTCGGTCTGGACAGTGGCGGCGACGTTCGGCAGAGCTCTGGCTCCATACACATCCACCTGTTGCCGGGCAGTCTCCGGCACGGGACTCGCACATCCTGCAGTGCTGACCGAGCACGCACCTCGCACCGTCCGCAGCGCTGTCGCCCTCTGTCCGGAGCCAGGGCTCGGGCTGGATGCTCATCTGTCCTGCCTTCGCCTCTCCACTGTCCCTGCCCCATTTCACCTGGCTGTCCCCATTCTCCTGCTCTGGTCTCCTTCACCCACTTGTCCATTCAGCCCATTCTTGCCCCTGCTAACCTGTGCAAGCAGAGACACAGGAAGCAGAGTCCTCCAGCAGCTCACAGGCCCTGGTGACTGCTCATCCACCCACTCCTCACTCTCAGCACACCCTGGTCCTATGCTCCAGCCATCATGAAAGCCCGTGTGGTGCCACCCCGGGGCCTTTGCACTTGCTGTGTTCCTGCAGATGCTCCCCACCCAGGCATGAAATTCTTACCTCCCCTGAGCCAGGCTCCCTGTCACCTCCCCTGAGCCTTTTCTGACTTTGCCCAGGCCAGGCCTTGGCTCCATCTCTCCCACTCCTCCTTCCTACCCAGTGCTCCCTGATCATACACATTACTCTACATGTGACACTGTGTGGTCCTCGGCCTGGTGCGTGAACTCTGTCATGCTCCCTACTCCAACGTGGGCCTCGGACCCTGTGGCGCTGATGTTTGCTGAGGGAATCTCCTTGACAAAGGACGTCTGGTTCATTTGTTTGCTGTATTAACATTGCATTGCAGTTAAAACACAGATGAGTGGAGAATACACACATACTTTTGTTTGTTTGGAGACAGGGTCTTGCCATGTAGTCAACTGGCCTTCAACTCAGTGTGTAGCCCAGGCTGGCCTTGGACACACGGCGATCCTCCTGCCTTATCCTCCCGAGTGCTGGGGTTACAGGTGTGCACCACCATGCGTATAACTTTTCTTAAAACCCTTCCAGCTGCTTTATTCAGCTGATGTACTGTACTGTGTTCTCGGGATGTGCAGCCAGCATGAGATAAGAGGTTCCGTGTTCCGTTGTATGTAAATGTCCAAGCCTGAGGTTATGTAGACTTCGATGACAATCCTGGTGACATTAAAGAATCCAGATCATACGGAAAACCCGGAGGATATGCGATTCCCAGGAAGACTTTAAATGCCATCCAGAAACCCAAGAATGACCCCCCCCCAAAAAAAATCTTCCAAATAAAACGGTCCTTCTATTCTTAAAAAATGTTAGTATATATTAGAAACTTGAAATTCTTTGTATAGAATCCTATAGAAAACATCCTAAAATGAATCCAGGTAAAAGGTTCTTATTAAGATGTGTGAGTCCTGGGCCAGGGATGTAGTCCAGTGGTTCTGCCGCCTGCTTCTCAAGCTGAAGGTCCCAAGTTCAATCCCTGGTACCAAAAAAAAGAAAGAAAGAAAAAAAGAAAAAAAAAAGATGCGTGAGCCCATATCCCTCCCTCCAAAGCACAGCGTGGAAGTCTCAGAAGCACTGAAGACCCAAGGCGGGTCTGAGTTTGCCACAGGCTCATTTGGTAGCAGACCCTGGGGTGCAGCTGTTCAAAGTCTGTGTTTCTTTGGCGAATCCACTTAGAGGTTTTCAGTTTTCTGACTGCACTGTGTGCCTGGCCTGCAGAGGGTTTTGCCATGTGCCGTGTGCCGCATGTGGCACAGCTCCTGGCCTGCATCCCAAATGTTCCCTGCTGGCCGATCTGGTTGGGCCCCGAGGGCCTGGGTGCCCAGGCGTCGTAGCGAAGCCAGTGCCCCATCTGACTTGTGGCTGTTTTGCTGCTGTCGCTGTTTCCTCCAGCTTCGCCAACCTGGGCATCCTCCATGTGACAAAGAAGAAGGTGTTCGAGACCCTGGAGACTCGGATGACGGACGCATGCATCAGGGGCTACAACCCCGGGCTCCTGGTGCACCCTGACCTCGCCTACCTGCAAGCCGAGGGGGGCGGAGGTGACCGGCAGCTCACGGGTGAGTGTCAGCCCAGCCTGTGTCCCCGAGAGTCTCGGGTGGCCCCTTCCACTGGCCCTGTCCCATCTGAGCAAGAGGATAGCTGCTTCCTCATGTGCTGGCCGCTCCTGCTCCCGAAGCCCCAGTGCAGTCACACCTGTCCCAGCCTCCCTTCCCACCTGCTTGGCCCTGGCGCCATTGGTCCCAAGCGGGTGACAGGAGCGTCTCTCGGGGCTGTCCGGGCAGGTGCATCCTGACCTCTCCTCCAGCACACAGATGCATGCTGTCCTTGTGCCTGCCCCTCACTTGCTCCTTGCACCCTGTCTGTGCTTTCACATTCACCCTAAGTCCTCACACAGTCAGAACCCAGCCCAGGACCCTGTTCCCATGGAGTGCCCTAACCCTCGCACTGTCCTGTCTCCTCCTGCCCTCTGTCACCTGGCCGTGGTCCAGCCACTCTCTGCACCCCTGATCCTGCTCGCCCCTTGCTTCATTTGTAGCCATCTCCTCCCACGTCCAGTCCCATCTGCACCCTAGGGCTGGGCGGATCCTCCCGAACCTGCTCTCCCCAATGCCAGGGTCCACATTCCCTACAAAATCCAGTTCTGTAGCTGGCACTGGGCCTCCTGGGAGCTGGAATGCATCTCTGGTCTGGTCCCCAGAAGCACCCCGACTTACTTCTCCCAGTCCTGCACACTCTCCTGTTCCTTCCACACATCCAAACTCCACCATCCCTGTGTCTCTGAGGGGACCCTCTTCCTGCTCCAGAGCAGCTGGCCCTACCTCCTGCAGACCCCTTCACTTACCCTGGGGTCCCCGCTAGGACTCAGCACTTGAAATGTGACTGTTTAGGATACAGAAACTCGCCATGACCCTGTCCAGCAGCCTGAGAAAACCCGGGGGGAATGGAAGAGTCTAACATGGCACAGTCACCTGGGTCCTTCCAAGCCCACTTTGAGCCCTGTGAGGGTGCCATGGGGACACGGGGCTGTGCTCTAGGCATTTGGCGTGGCCCTTCTCACACCTTCAATGTCGCGGACACGAGGTGGCTGCTCTCCCGGCCCTGCCATGTCCTCTCGCCTTGATTACGCTCTCTGGCAGGGACAGAGGAGGCAGCCAGATACCCGGGACAGTTTTACCAAAATCCAGAAAAATGCAGGATACCGTCCTTGGATACCTTTAACTGTGGCTGGTATCGAGGGAATGATTTTGTAAAGAATCTTAGCAACAGTACAGAAGTTCAAAAGAGCAGCAGTGGGTTTTTAAATTGATCTCTCCGTACCAACGTGCACGTTAAACGCTCTCCTTCCTGCCTCCGCGGGCACCGGCCCTGCAGACCGGGAGAAGGAGTTGATCCGCCAGGCCGCGCTGCAGCAGACCAAGGAGATGGACCTGAGCGTCGTGCGGCTCATGTTCACCGCCTTCCTGCCCGACAGCACCGGCAGCTTCACTCGCCGCCTGGAGCCCGTGGTGTCCGACGCCATCTACGACAGCAGTGAGTACCTTGGCACCTCGGCGCCGGCTCGGTGGAGACGGGCTCCGGGTCTCACCTGCAGCTCCAAACCTCCGCCAGGAAGGGTCGGCACCTTGGGCGGGACCGGTTTCTCGGGTTTCTCATGGGGACCCCGAAGGGAGGCTGCTGAAGGGAAACTGTGCTCTCCCCTCGTTCCCACGTGGGAGCCGCTTTAAAAGTCAGGAACGTCAGGCTCCTGAGCGCCTGCTTAGACGGCACAGGACTGGCAAATCCTCTCCGAGAACAGTTCCTCGACCTTCCTCAGAGTTTACCCTGGTTTATTCATTGGTAGCCGTGGCTCATATTCACCAGGTGTTTCCAGAGAGCCAGCGGGTGTAGTATTTGGGCTCACTGAATACTCATAGAATTTGCTGTAAGTAGACTACTCCAGGGGTTGGAGTGTCACAGCTAACGGATTTAATTTAAACAGCTTTGAAGGGAAGAGAAAGGTTTATAAAATGATGCTGACCCATATGCCACAGATCGCCTGCAACTGCAGCTGTTGGAGTAGAAAAAGGAAGCTTGGTACTATTTCCACGTGAAACTTTTAGCCCTTAACCACACGAATCCTGATTTAGTTTGAGGAAAAGAAATAAAACATGTCCATTTTTCTTTATACAATAAAAACTAAGTAGTTTCAGAACATGGTGCTTCTCCTAAATTGTTTAGGATTCTTCTCCGTGGCACAGCGTTAGCATGGGAATGAGTTTGGAGCTAAATCCTTGACCTGACTGAAATTCCAGAAACCCATTGGCTTGGTTCCTGAAATGTCAGGGAAGCTCCTGCTCCCTCTGTGTCCCCCTCTCCTCTGGTTAGAGGGAGAAACAAATGCCACGCCTTCCTGCCCCCCACCCTTCCTCACCCTTCTTGGTGATACAGTGGCTCCATTAGCAACATTTTTGTTCCATTTGTTTCTCTGCTAAAGCACCGAGTGGGGAGTGTGTGGGGCGGGGAAGGCTGAGGACTGACCTGGACCTGGGCCTGTACTGTTTTCTCCTTTGAACAGAGGCCCCCAATGCGTCCAACTTGAAAATCGTGAGAATGGACAGGACCGCTGGCTGCGTGACTGGGGGGGAGGAGATTTACCTCCTGTGTGACAAGGTTCAGAAAGGTAAGGACACTGGTCCAGGACGCAGAGGCCAACTCCTGCAGTCTCTGGGTCACCGCTCAGCGGCCATCAGGAGCGTCCCCTTCCGCCACCGACACCTTCTCCAGCTGTGAACTGTCTGTGTCATTTTGTACAACCCCAACCATATAATTCATCTTAAATTTCCCACAGAAATAAGGAGATAAGAAAACAGTGATAATTATAACTAGCAATCACCTGTGTTTCTTTACCTTCTGCTTTTTCTGTGCTCTGTTAAACAAGTGAATGAGTAACAGCCCACGGCACATACACAGAATTGGTGACAGGCCTGTGTCATGTAAACTTGTTGATTCTGTTCACTTTGCAGTGCTTTCTCGTAGCACTGAGAGCTTCTCCAGCCACTTCCATGGCCACTGTGAGGCCAGTTGGAGAAAGAGTCAGGACACGAAGCCCTCAGAGCATGTTCCTCTTTCTTGGGCAAGCTTCTTGGCCCCTTATTCTCATTAGAGCCATTAGAAGATCCACAGATTGGTGAAAACGAAAGATATTATGTTACTTTCTCAACCTTCACTCTTTCTTTTTTAAATAAGATGATAAATGTAAAGTACAGTATAATGAACGTCTGTTTACTGCAAAGTAGGCAATTTTCAAGTGAAGCAGACACAGCCCTGGCAAATCAGCCTTAAGTAAAGGTAGCATAGCTTTAAAATAACTTTCAGTAGAGGGTCAGTGCTCCAAGACAGGAAGTCAGGAAAAAGTGGGATGTGACTGTGAAGGGAATATGCACTCTTTCTCTAAACAATGTGACCACTGATGCCCTCTGCTTCCGGCCTTCTCCTGCCCACCCTCCTGAGCAGTACTCATTTCGGGGCTGAGTTGCTTTCATTTGCATTAATTGTCATCACTACTGGTCTAGCGCAGAAGTTTCATCCTTGGCTTAAACAATCTGAAAAACTACAGGTGAAGAAAGACGCTTGTCTAACCCTCTCCTAAAATGGAAATTCGTGTGTCATTTTATCGGGCAATGGTGTCTTTTCTGTGAAAGGAGAAGTGAAGCCAGGGGGTTGCCAACCTGAGTTACGCAGCCCTAATTCTGCAGAAATAAAGAACTCTTGGGTTCCAAGTGAACTGACTGCGTAGTATTTTGGCCAATTCCTCAAGGGGGACGGAGGAAATGTTATGGGAGGCAGCGGGGTGGAGTACGCAAGCACTGGGGCTCTGAAACCTGGGGTGTGTGTTCCAATCCTCACTTCTCTTTGCACTGGCTGTTCAGTCCTAGATAAGTTACTGGAGAAACTCTTTGGACCCCAGTTTCTCTTCCACAAAGTGAGGATAATAGGACACCTACCTCCCAGGGTCGTGGTGAGGATAAAATGAGTTTATATTTCCATAGAAAGTAGTTGGGACGCATCTGCCCTCACGTAAGCCCCGTGTGAGCTAACTGCTGTGTGCAGCTATACATTGAGGAGCCCCTCATCCGGGGCTCTAGTACTCCTCCTGGGGCCTCAGGAATGGAGAGGAGGGCAGGTTCAGCACTGAACAAGAGAAAGCTCAGGTTGTTGACCAGTTAACCCTAAGATTCTGCCAACGGAAGTGAAACTTACGGCCTATCCCTGTGGTGAGGAACATTTTAAAACCGTGATTTGTATAAATTACAAATGTTCAATCTACTATACTGATTATTTTTAAGAAACAGGAGAGTCCAGTAGGTAGAACCCTGAGCCAGCCTGTCTTTACATCCTGTCCCACTGTGCACAGTGACCTACCTGCTTGTAACTTTGCAGATGACATCCAGATCCGGTTCTATGAAGAGGAGGAAAACGGAGGCATTTGGGAAGGATTTGGAGACTTTTCCCCCACCGATGTTCACAGACAAGTAAGAGATCATCCTCGTCTTGTACATTTCGCTTTGTTGAAATTCAGTCCTTATTTTCTGCCTATGAAAACCAAAAACATCAGAAGTGCATACTCAACATCCATTAAACAGTACTACGCTGAGGACTTCCGCAGGCCATCTAGAAATCTTTCCCACCGTCAAACTGCAGGCCAGGTTCTCCTGGACCGTGGGGCTGAGAGGCTGGTGGGACATTTCGTTTGGGCCCTGGTCCTGCGTCCCTAGGGCGGTGCCTTTCCAGGAAAGCCTGCTAGGTGTTCCGTGGAAGCAGCTGTGTGGAGGCCCATCAGGGAGTAGTCCCTGGACAGTGTAGAAAGGAGGGGGCTTCTCTGATACATCAGGACCCCCCAGTGACAGCCGACGGTGTGACCGGGAGATGAAAATGCTGACCCTCCCTCTTCACGATGACTCTCCTTCTTGTGAATGATTGAGAAACACTGTTGTCATAAAAAAAACAAAAAATGAGAACAATTCAAATGCTGATCAATAAGCAACCAGTTTGGCAAATCGCGATGTATCTAAGATACCACACAGTTCTGGTACTCTCTGAACTCACCCAGGGAGATCTCACAGGTACAACACTGAGAACTTTAGAAGATGCATTGAAAACAGCATGAGTGTGAACATGATGCTTTGTTCACAGAGAAACCAGAGGGGGTGTAGCAAACTAATGTCAGAGTCTGTGGGGCTAGGGCTGGCAGGCTTCGGGGCCCGTGGATTCGGGGCACTGGGGGCTAGGAGAGGTGCCCGTGTACACCGTTCTGTTTACCTTTTGTGTAGTTTACTAAATCCGGGCCCCTGGGAGTAGCTTACATAGTAAGAAATAAGCCCAGCTAACACATGGTGAATTGCCTAACTGTCCCAGCACTGCAGGGATGAAATAGCGGGGAACCCTGTAGCAGGTTTAGCTTATTCTGCTCAGCTAGGAAAGCAAGTACCCGGCTGCTTCTTTCTGTCCACACCCAGCCTTTTGGACATTGCTAGAAGTGGTCTTGCAGGCTTCTGAGGCTGATTTGAAAGAGGAGAAACAAGCGTATGCAGGGAATTTTGTATGTGTGATAATTGCACCTGGAAGACGATCGAAATATTGGACATGTGAAGCAACAGAGATGCGGGGGCCTGGGCACAGTGGGCTTCCCCTCCACGGCGGAGGTGTCCTGGAAGTGGGTGGGTGTGGGATGCTGAGCTGGGAACGTCCTCGGGGGCCGTGCTCTCATAGCACACTGCAAGCATTGGGTATAAATAAAAACCCAGGGAATGGCAGCATTTCCCCCAGAAACACCACAGCCCAACACCCACGTGTGTCTTTGTGTCCTGCAGTTTGCCATCGTCTTCAAAACCCCAAAGTATAAAGACATCAACATCACCAAGCCGGCTTCTGTGTTTGTCCAGCTTCGGAGGAAGTCAGATTTGGAAACCAGCGAGCCTAAGCCTTTCCTCTACTACCCGGAAATCAAAGGTAATAGGTGGCTCAGGCTCTTGTGTTTCTTCTGCTGTGAGGATGCATTGATCTGGGGTCTGCAGGTCACCTCCTGAACAGTTTCCTGGGAATCAGTCAATCCATGGCCTGTATTTTCAGAGAAGAGACAGTAATACACTAACTCGTGGTCATGGAATTACTCCAGGCCTCTAAAAATAATCTTATCTCCGCCAAACTTGTATTTAAACCCTGGTGTCTCCCAATATGAAAATCTAGCATTTCCTGAGTAATTCGGGTTTAGGCAGCACAGATGAAGCCTGAGGGTCGCTGCTTGGGCGAAGAGCCCAGCCGGTCAGCAGTGTGTCACTGGCGTCGCTGGTGACCTCGTGATGTGGCCCCAGGCAGATCGGGAGGCCGAGCAGGGCTTGGGGGGTGTGCACAGCAGCTAGGGTTCCACATGGGTCATGGAGGGGCCGGGTTCACTTCCCAGAGCCGGGATCTGTGACACAAGTGCCCCACAGGACAGGGAGGAAGAGCAGGACCAGGGAGAGAGCACAGTGTAAAGCACGGCAGGCCACATCTTGCTCCTATGGGAAGGTCCTGTGGCTCCCAGGGGCCCGCAGAGGCCAGAGCAGACTGGAGGGGGAGGGGGAGAATCAGCCACATCTGGGGCTGAGACACAGCAGGCACCAATTGGATCAGTGCTTCAAGGTGTGTCCTTATCCAAGCCCACTGACCCCAAGGAGTCCAGGACAGAGCTGTGCTTTGCCATAGTGACTGTTTCTGTGACCGGCCTTGGGTGTCACCTGCAGCAGCCCCTGCCTTAGGGGACCCCTGTTGGGCAGAAGCACTGGAAGATGCTCCTGAGAGCCAGCTGTCCTCCTGGGCATGACTTCCCTGTGGCCGGGTCAGGTGTGGGAACACCCGCCCCTCTGCTGGCATCTCCTGGAAACCCCAGTGTGTTGGCCATGGGTGCTGCTGGGCATGGGCAGTCACCCTGCCCTTCCCAGTCTTTCCCACCTCCTCTCACTTCCGCCTTCGAGCTGCCTGAGGTCTTGTGGGTGCCCAGAGCCTCACACTGGGCTACAACCCCAGCCCTTTTTAGTTTTTACTTCGAGACAGGCTCTCACTAAGTTGCCCAGGCTGGGCTCTTATTTATAATCCTCCTGCCTCAGCCTGCCAGAGTGCTGGGATGGCAGGCGTGCACCATACTCCCAGCTGTGATTTGTATTTCTACAGTGAACTGAGATTCTATGGGAGAATAATGTTATATGTGCAGTGAGCTCAGCTTTTGATTAGCCATGGCATAACCAGTGGGAAAATGTTACACATCTGGTCACCCTGCAGCCCTCTCTCCAGCCTCAGGCTGACCTGCACCAACACGGGGTTACAAACAAAACAGGATCCTTCTGAACATAGTGACAGAAACCGACATTGAACAATCAGAAACAGGACAGTTGTTAAGCACCGAGCCCCTGACTGAAATAAGAATACCACATTGACTGTTTAATATAAATAAAACATCTCCTTCACCCAGAAGAGGGAAGGGAGAAAATGAAACACAGGATAGGAAAATCACAGAAAAGAAAGGGAAACAGAGACAAGCAGGAACATGCAGCAGACTACAGAGGCAGTAACAGAACTCAGACAGGACACCGTCTCCACCATATTAGTGATTTTTATGGACCACGTGGCCAGCACCAGCTGTCAGCACCATCCTACCCAGCACTGACTCATTGGCAGGTCCTGAGCACAGGTGACCATCTGTACATGCCACTCCTGTGTCCAGGGACAGTCAGCTCTCCTAGTGGAGCGTGGAAACCTTACACCCCCAGGGTGGTCCCACGGTCACCACCCAGAAATTACGGCACTCATCTCTGCAGAGCCCATCAGCACCGGGGCCCTCTCTCCTCCACTTCCTGTCCTCCACTTCCTGTCCTCCACTTCCTGTCTTCCACTTCCTGTTCTCCACTTCCTGTCTGCTGGCTCCTCCGCCTGCCCTCCCTGTCCATGGATCAGCACCTCACCTTTACCCTGTTACCATGAGGGACGGCCATCCCTTCAGGCTCTTCCCCACCAGCTGACACAGTGTCGTGATTCTCTCTGTTCTCGCTTGTAACTCCCTATGGATGCACCGGAAATGTTGGCCGATTAGGAGGAGGGGTTTGTGTGACCGAGTGCCAGTAACCCTTTCTGTCCCTCGTCTCAGCCTGACCTCATGCTGCCTACATCCAACTTGGGCCCAGGGAGCTGTTTGGTCCATTGGAGTAAAGGTGGCCCCTCTCTCCCTCCTGCCTGCTCCTTTGCGTGATGATGTACTATTACCCCGAGGATCAGGAGCCTGTGTGTAGCTGCTGCTGGAACCGAATCCATCTTTCCGTCTTTCCTCCCGCCCCCCTTGCTGTGCATGCAGATAAAGAGGAAGTGCAGAGGAAGAGGCAGAAGCTGATGCCCAACTTCTCGGACAGTTTCGGCGGTGGTGGCGGCGCAGGCGCAGGAGGCGGAGCCATGTTCGGAGGCGGCAGTGGTGGAGCAGGAGGCACGGGCAGCGCCGGACCAGGTACCCGAGGGGGAGCGCTTCCGGGTGGACAGGGCACCGCTGTCCTGCTGGGGGTCTCCAGCACCGCTGCGGGTGCAGTGGCGACGACATCACTAGATAGGAGGTCTCAGGCACTTTAACGCCTCCCTACAAACGTTCTTTTGTCTTTCAGACGTGCACATTCATTTTACAGTACGGTAGCAGCCTTCCTCGTGTGTCACTCTCAGTGGCTTCAGTTACTGTGGTCAACTCCTGTCTAAAAATACCAGTGGTTGCCTTGACTCCTTAGAGGGAGAAACCACAGTCACAGGAGTCTTGTTACAGAATTTCATTATAATTGTCCTGTTTTATTAGTAGTTATATCTCTCCCTCTGCCTAATTTACAAATTAAACCGCATCACAGGTGTGTGTGTGTCCAGTGTAGCGCATGAGGAGTTCTATAAGCTTGTGTCTCCACACGTCCCCAGAAGTCGCGGGACAAGGACCCGGTGGGGGAGGAGGGGCACAGATGGTTCCAGACCCTGGAAGAAGAGGAAGAGCCACCCAAGGCCTATTATCCAGGAAACACCTTTCTACGTATTTTGGTATAGCCAGGCGCGGTGGTACACACCTGGAATCCCAGCATTCGGGAGGCTGAGGCAGGAGGATCACTGGGAGTTCAGGGCCAGCCTGACTTGACTCAGCTTAGCTCTGCTGGTGTGGATGTCTGGTCATCCTGTGTCCCCTCAGCGTGTCTGACTGGCCCTAGGATCTGCAGACCTTGGCTTAAAGTGTCCCCGAGGCCCCATTTATTTTCCTTGCCATTTCAGGGTACGGCTTCCCACACTATGGCTTTCCCACGTACGGCGGGGTCACCTTCCACCCCGGCACCACGAAGTCCAGCGCTGGCCTGAAGCATGGTGAGTAGCACCTTGTGAGTGCCAGGGGCTCCTCTTCCCTGTCTTGACTGTAGTCTTTTCTCCTTTTTTTACACTGGACTTTGCTTTGCAGCCTGCAGCAGGGCCACACTTGGTTCCATAGGTAGCACAGACCCCCCGCTGGGGTCTCCGTGCATGCTGTGTAAGGAGGACACTGCGCCTCCCTCAGAAGCACTTGTGTACTTGCCAGAGTCAGCGGCAGAACCAGGATTTGAACCTGGTCTGCCTGCAAACCTGGGAAGATCCATCAGACGACACAGTTGGACCGGAAACGGTCAGCAAATGGCCAAATGCACACCCAAGAGTGCAAATTGAGACCACGTCGCTTCAGCTGTCTTGTTCGCTAGCATGAAGGGAAAATCAGTGCTCTGCTTTCAAGAATTTTAAAAATTTCACTTCCCTCCCATACACAGAAGAGCTTTATTTCAATTTCATTGTCCTCTTTTACAATTAAATGACACTTAAGTTTTAGAAGTAAAGTAAAAATGTATAGAAGTGAGCACTTAAAATAGTCCGGGGGAGGGGTGGTGGCACACGCCTGTAAACTCATCACTGGGGAGGCTGAGGCAGGAGAATCGCCAGGAGTTCAAGGCCAGTCTGGGCTACATAGTGAGACCCTGTCTCAAAAAATAGATAAATAAATAAATATCCCCCAAAGTGTGTTAGTTATGACCTGAAATGTTTTAGAAGAATTATAAATCAATATTTTTATTTTTCCCTCTGCAGTAAACTCTCCCCTTGCCCTTTCATGACCTTCTTGCCAACAGCACATTTTAACTTAATTAGGAGACTTGATGAGAAGCAGCTGATGTTTTCCCTTTCTCTCAGAAACCGTAAACACTGAAAGTGACCGTGACCCTGCAGGCTGTGAGGCCTGCGAAGATGGGGAGGTGACGACAGCCGCGGAGCCCAAGGAGGACACAGGGGCACCCAGCCCCGGGACCCACGGGGCGCCGCTGACGTGCGCCGTGCGGAGAGAGGAGGAGGCTGCGAGGCTTCCGGGTGCGGAGTCCTAGGGGTGCGCTGCCCGGGGGCGGGAGGGCCCGGCGCACACACAGAAGCCGTGTGCAGAAAGCAGTTCCCCTTGTGTCCGCCTCTGTCCAGGCCTGCTGAGTGCAGCGATTTCCACGACCCACGCGCGTCTGCGTGAGGAGCGGGGCCTCCCAGGGCACAGACAGCAGAGCATTTCCACGTCCACTCTGTTTCTTTCTTGGACATTACAATTCCCATTCCGTGGCTTTCAGAGCCAGACCACTGGGACACCAAATGTCCGATTGAAAGCTGTCCGCCTGGGGCAGGGAGGGGTGTTTCTTGACTGACTACATAATTGTTAGATTCCAGTGAGGAGGGATTTACCAAGAGATCAGTTATTTAAAATCATGGCGATATCCAGTTATCATTGATTGGGGATTGATTGTTCCCCTTAAAATAGTGAACAGGGATCCATTTCTGGAATTCCGCTTGCGAGGTGTAGACGAGCTGTTTTAGATCAATCCCTGGCGCTGATTTCCAGTCAGCCATGTGGACACAAAGCCCCCGGAGGAGGACTGGTACCTGCAGGGGTGTCGCTGTCAGGACCAGAGCTCTGCCCCAGTGGGGACCTGGCTGTGACTATGGCCCTGCCTTGCAGATGACCTCTTCCTGGAGAAGGCCCTGCAGCTCGCCAAGCGCCATGCCAACGCCCTCTTCGACTACGCGGTCACAGGGGACGTGAAGATGCTGCTGGCTGTCCAGCGCCATCTCACTGTAGTGCAGGATGAGAACGGCGACAGGTAAGGAGGCTTCCAGGGTCGAGGGAAGTCTTAGGAGTGATTGATAAATACGGCAAATGTTTAAGTAAAAGACACGTTGCCATGAATCCCCCTCAAAATACTCCTGTCCCTCCTGGCACTGGTCCCACCATCCTCGCCACTTTCTGCAGCAGCTCTGGAGTCCTCTTTCCTGAGGGTCTTTCATTGGTCTGTGGTGGCTGCCTCCCTGTCCTGAATCCATTCAAAACGTTTCCCTTTTGTGGTCACTTTGACTTCGGAGAAGAACCAGAAGTCTCACAGTGCCAGATCTGGTGACTGAGGTGGACAAGGACACAGCTTCATGTTTCTATGACACTGCCTTTCTGGTGGGCCGTGCTCAGCAATGGCAGCATTCACCGGATTTTCGACCACATCGGCCTCTGTTAGGGTCACACACCCTGCCCCACTCCTGCAAGTGCTCAGTGCATCCGCAGAGCCACCTGCCTCCTTTCTAAAAAGGTCTCTTCATCCTTTCATTGTGACTTCTAAAGCCATCTCAAAGGCCTATAAAAATAACAAGGAACAGGGGCCTCGGATTCCAGGCTTATCTACGACCTTCCAAGAATAGCGCACATACAGCGCAGCCTTTTCTTTGCCTGAGCTCCTGGTGCTGTGTTCTAAGTAAACAACAGAAGCCCACACGGTGGAAAGGGCGGGCCTGGGGACTCAAGCAGAGACCTTCATTCTCGGCCCTCACAGCATAACTGAGGTCATGGGGAGGGAGGCCAGTGGCTTGTGCAAGTGCCACAAAGAGCAGAAGGTGCGCTGAGGGCTCAGTAATCCAGGCGGTGATCTACAGTGTGACCACAAGGAACAGCTTAACCCAGAGGGACAGCAGCGTTTCCGGTGACGGTTCTGGGGCCCGTGGAGTCGATGCATCCCAGGAAGATGAGCACGCACACGTTAGCTGTGTGCCGATGTCCAGGGGCCCAGGCTCGTGTGGATACATGGAGGGGAAGCACATCGGTGGGACCTGGACACCCTGACAGGCTGACAGGGATGATCTGAGTCCTGTGGTCATTCCTCAGGCAGAAGACAAGCGAGAGCAGGTCCGGTCTCAGCCGGGGAAGTTTCCCAAGGGCGTGGGCCTGGGGAGGAGGGCAGCTTCTGCTAAGAGTTGCTGGCTGCGAGAGAAGCTCTCAGACTCCCAGAGGTCCGAGCGTGCTTAGCACTGTCTGGTAACTAGGAGCGCTCAAGAGTCGCTGCTTTAGTGATGATTCAGTTGTTTCAAGTTAATAATAAAAGCTCAGAGCAGTAGGGCAGGAGGGACAGCCTGTCATCACCTCGAATTTCTTTCTTTTTTCTTTCTTTTTTTTTTTTTTTGCAGTACAGGGAATCAAACTCAGGATCTTGTGCTTGCAAGGCAGGCACAGTGCCACTGAGCTAAATCCCCAGCCCACCCGACATTTTTGAGCTCATTGTTATCCCACAGCCCAGGGACAGGAGGACAGGAGACAGCGCCCCCACCTGGGAAGCTGGAGAACACTGGGGGGGGTGAGCTGTACACCAGAGGGAGGGGACAGTGGGAGGCTCCCAGAGGTCTCCCCTCCTGACCCAAGAAGACCCTAAGAAGCACAGCACTGACAGAGGGTGGTGGTGGGTCCAGAGAGCTACACCTTGCCGAGCAGCTCCTAGGGTAGGCTCTCGCTCTGTGCGGGAGCCGTGTGTCAGGAAAGGCGGGCGAAGAAGCACGAGGAACACCCGGGAGTCAGTGCAGGGGTGGCTGGGACTTGTGTGTCCCCCGGCGTGGACACCCCGGGGCAGGCCCACCTGCGAGGACCTTTTCCACATCCCCAACCGGTTGGGCCAAGTAAGGCCAGGGATTTGCGAGCCAGGCTCAGTCTTGGAGTCTGATCATTTCCTGAGAGTTTTTTTCTTGGTCTGTGAACACCTTCGTGAACTCTCCGTGCTGCTTCCTTTGCAGCGTCCTGCACCTGGCCGTGATCCACCTCCATGCCGAGCTCGTGAGGGATCTGCTGCAGGTGACTGCAGGCCTGATATCCGAGGACATCGTCAACATGAGAAATGACCTCTACCAGGTGAGCAGAGGCCGCGAGAACAGTCCAGAGAAACGTGTGGTCTGGTTTTGCTGCGTGTGTGGCTGGCAGGAAGGTGAGCAGGAGCTCAGACCCAGCCACACTGCAGCGCCCTGTAGGAAAGGCTGTCAGTGGAGCCCGATGTTATGGGTCAGGATGCTCTGATCTGCGGGTATAATTAGTCACCGACCCTGAAATTCAGCATCCTGAAGTTGCATTTAGAGGGAGAACCTAGAATTAAAAAGTCATATCCATCAAGGAAAATAAAGTTGAAAAATTTAAATTTGAAAAGCCTGCCCTTTACCAGAATTTTGAGGTCTCCTGAAACATACTTCAACAACCCCCACATTGGATGTCTGTCAAATAAAGGGGGGGTGAAATCAGAACATGGAGAGATGAACCATCTTTCCACGGCAGAGACAGCTCCAGGTGAGGCGGGCGGGGACCCCAGAGCTCCTGACTGAGTCAGGCTGACATGGAAATGAGGTCCGCGCTCTGCAGACAGTGCAAGGGGCAGTTGGCAGGGACTCAGCGGGGCTGCCTGGAGCTAGTGCAGGACTTGAGGGTGAGGCAGACCTGCTTGGCAGACCTGAAGCCAGGTCCTCCCAACTTCCAGTCATTTTTACAATCTCAGGGCCTGGAATGGTTGGTGGACTGGGACCCCAATTAGAGCTCACGGTCTCTCTCTCCAAAAGAGGGGCAAGCAATCACGCGTGGTTATTCACCTAGTTAAGATGCCAGTTTCAGCTCTCTAGTTTTAGTCTGCTCTCTATTTTTGGATGCCAGGAAGAGAACGCAGAGCCTCTCACATGGGGATCACATATTCTGTCACCCAACTGTACCCCCAGGCCCACTCCGTTCTCAATGTTTTTTGTTTTTTTGTTTTTGTTTTTGTTCCGGAGACAGGGTCTCCCTATGTAGTTCAGGCTAACCTTGAACTCACTATGTAGCCCGGGCTGGCCTTGAACTTGCAGCAATTCTCCTGCCTCAGCCTCCCAAGTGCTGGGATCACAGGTGTACACTGCTATGCCTGGCTTCATTCTCCATTTTTAAAGCCAATGATTTCTTATTTGAAAGAATAAATTTTAATTATTTTAAAGAAAATTAAATATTAATTATTTTCGTTTTAAAGGAAATTATTAAATCTTTTCTTATTTTTATTTCCACATTTTTAAAATGTGTTTTAAAAGCCTATATGTTTCTGTGTAGCTCTCAGTGCATTTCTTCTGGGGATAGGTGTTTCCCGTGGGGAAGATCACTTTGCCACCAAAGACCAGGCAGCATCCAGTTTCTCTGGCTGTTTGCTTCACAGCAAGGGAAAGTAAAGTAAGGCTGAGGACTTTTCAGTGACTCACAAAATAACTGGAAGGAAGCCTGATTTTATATTTACACTTATGAGATTATCCTCTACCAACTTTCATGCCACTTGGGGGGCTAGTGGTGTTTAGAAAGTCACTTGACTCGATAAGCTTGATTTGCTCAGATTTCTAGACTGTTCTTTTTTTTTAAACTGTCACGAGCATATGAATAAAATCAGGACCAGGACTTGGGGTTTCTCAGCCCTCCATCCAAAGACCTCCACCGGCACTGCCAAGGGTCCTGCTCAAAGAGGTGCTTGCTTTTCTGTTCATAAACAGGATCTGCAGGGGACACAGCTCCACAGGTTGGGCGGCTATGATTTATTAAGTGCAGAAGTCCTGTCTGCATCCTGGGGTCAGACCGGTGCAGACTCCGGAGTGCTGGAGTGAAAGCCAAACCCTGCTGTGGGCCCTGCGCCCTTCTGACTTGGGGACCTTAGGCGGAACCCGGCTCTGTTGTTCCCACCTCACATCCCCGGTTCCTGGCAAGGAGTCTGGATTCCCTGGGATGCCTTCTGAGACACGCACACTTACACCCAGGGGCAGCTTTGACTTGAGGACTAGAAGCCTCTAAGATTAGGACTCTGTGCTTCAAAGGGTTCCATTCTCGACTGAAGAGGACTCAGGGCCGTTATCTTAGACATCCTCCCCACCCTCCACATCTCTGGGGCCATCTACTGCAGTCCATTCCTCTCCCGTCCACCCTGGAGACACGCTCAAAATAGCCACAGGCACAGAATCAAGGGATTTTCTTGAAAATTCTCCCTCTAAGCCATATTTTCCTCTTAACTCTCCGTCCTCCCAACGTGGACAGCCACCCCAGGGTGTTTGATGTAGCTTTTATTCGTATGATGTTCCCATCAAACACGACCAGGTGACTTCCATGAATGTGTTTTTCTTTTGTTTTTAATGACTATAAATATACCATACATGGATGGCTCTTGAAATAGTGCCAAAGGCTACGTATCGGGAAGAAGTCAGAGCGGTTCTCCCTGCTGATCATGAGTCCGCCCACCCTGTGCGAGCACAGAACTCTGTGCCTGCAGGGTGGGCTTTTTGCAGGTATTGGCTAAATGCAGTACTGCGTGGACCTCACTCCCGGTGCTAGACATGGGCTGCTTCTGGCTCCTGCAGGGAACAGCGGTGCCCAGGTGCACCCGGGTCTTCTTTACGATCTCATTTGTTCTCCTTTTCCCATTTCCCATAGCATTACAGAAAACACAGATTAGCAAACAGCCTTTAGTGACGGATTTGTTTTCAAGAGGAAAGCTCCTGGCAGAAACTCTGAACGCCTTACAGACACCTGCAGTCTCTATGGTCCCAGAGAGAGATCCAGAATGATGCCCGGGGGCGGGGTCTTGTTCCTGCTGTCCCAAGTAATCGCTGTCCCTGAGATTCGGGCGGCTGGGCACCTCCCACTTCCCTACACAGTGGCATCTACACTGGCGAGGACACTAGTGGCCACAGCCTCTGTGGGAGAGGGACTGCAGGGGGACTGCAGCAGACTGATTCACATGAAAAATATCACTGTCCTGTCTCGGTGATCTCCATTCTGTGAGAGATTCCTTCCTGGCTGTGTCTGTCTTGCTTGTTTCTTTGAAAACACACACAATGCCCAGATCATCTCCTTCGCATTCTCAGAAGTTGTCATCACAGGAACATTTTGCACATTAAGTCCCATCGTGGCCAATTTTAGGTTCACCTGGGTGGCACTGTCCCGGTTATGCCATGTAGAACGCTGTAACAACACCTTTTGTGAAACGGGCGTAGGAAGGAAGCTACGATGAGTGGTCTCGTGAAGCCAGTCTGTGGGACAGTATTTTTCATTTAGTAAGTTTATTTTCCATGTCAGTAGAAAACACTGGCACCTTTGTGAATGGTTTCTATTAAGTAGTTTATTTAAATTCCTTTATCAAACCATAGCCTTGATTTAATTTGCTAACACGACATCATCAGCCGAGGATAGATTCCTACTAGGAACCCAAGAAAACTCAATTTAGCACTAGATGAGTTCAAAAAATATCATGGCCAATGTATGGGGAAGTGTACCTTGAATTAGTGTAATCGCTTTATGTTTTTCAGTCTCTGTCTGGCTGTTAATCTGTTTATGATAACTTGATAACATCAAAATAAATCAATAAATCTGATACTGGTAGAAAGAAAGAGAGAGAGAGAGAAAGAGAGATAAATCAACACCCAGTCTGTGATAAGAAACCAAGCCGTGCAGAAGTCACCGTGAGGAGCCTGATGGCTGAGTGACCAAATGTGGGTCTGGTCCAAATGCCTCAGCAGCCAGTGGGGGCAAGCGGGAGCCCCTGTGCAGAAGTCGGGGGGACCCTGGGGATGGGAGAGGCCCCATGCTGTGGCCAGAGGCCGCCCCCAGAGCACACAGCGCCGGATCCCCTCCCTCCTCCGTCCACACAGACGCCCTTGCACTTGGCGGTGATCACCAAGCAGGAGGATGTGGTGGAGGACCTGCTGCGGGCCGGGGCCGACCTGAACCTGCTGGACCGCCTGGGCAACTCCGCACTGCACCTTGCCGCAAGGCAGGGCCACGACAGGATCCTCAGCGTCCTGCTCAAGCACCAGAGGGCAGCACCACTGCTGGACCAGCCCAACGGGGAAGGTAGGAGGCCGGCTGCGCTGGTGCGGACTGCTCTTCCCGCTTTCTGAGCCAGGGCTCGGCGCTGACCAGTGCGCCTCACAGGATTTTCACCCCGAGTTGTCTCCTTGGCCACCTGGAGCTGGCCATGCCTTGCAGTGTCCTGTTTTTTTGCCATGGCACGTTCCCTTCTGGGACAGGAAGGAGAGTGGAGGCCCGAGCGAGCCTGGTTCCATCTTGATTCAGGACAGCAGGAGGCTGTGTGTCCCATGGGCACAGTGGCTCCCGCGCCTTCCCAGCCTGGCCCACCGCCTCCCGGTCACCCCGTGCATGACACCTGTGCGTGCTCGCAGGTCTCAACGCCATCCACATCGCCGTGACAAGCAACAGCCTGTCGTGCCTGCTGCTGCTGGTGGCCGCAGGTGCCGATGTCAATGCCCAGGAACAGAAGTCGGGGCGCACAGCGCTGCACCTGGCGGTGGAGCAGGACAACGTGTCCCTGGCGGGCTGCCTGCTGCTGGAGGTGAGGGGTTCAGCCACACGGTTCTGGGGCAAATCCTGGTCAGTAGTCCCTGCTGGGATTTGGGCAGCAGCTCACATGTCCCCCTGCCCCGCTGCTGTCCCTGTAAACAAAGAGCCAGCCGGGTGGCAGTGGGGCAGGGGTCCTGCGGGCAGGAGGAGGGGACCGAGGGGGAGCGACCCCTGAGCTCTTGTGTGGCCGGTCTAGGGCGAAGCCCATGTGGACAGCACCACCTATGATGGGACCACACCGCTGCACATCGCGGCTGGGCGAGGCTCCACCAGGCTGGCAGCACTGCTCAAGGCCGCAGGTAAGGGCTGGGGCTGGGCAGTCGGGCTTCAGGAGAGCAGGGGCGCTGATGGCTCAGGTGGAAGAGCGTCTGCTGAGCGGCCATCGAGATTCCCAATTCCCCTTCACCGCCCGGACACCTTGGAGTCCACTCTGATTCTCCTGTTTGCTTCGGGTTTGAGCTCCATAGCTCGACTCCAGAGGAAATGCTTAAGTAAAGTTCAGTTCCACATAGAATTCTGAGTGGTGCCGGTCTCTGCCCACGTCACAGTCCCCAGCAGAGCAAATCTCCGGTATGGACACTTCTTGGGGGCACAGCAGACAGGCAGACGTGGATGGTGAGTTGCCAAGCTGGGTCCTGCTGTCACACCTCTGACCTGTGTGCCGGGCCCTGAGCCGCAGCAGGGGCCCCGTATGGCCGCCAAGCACGCACGCTGCAGGCCTCAGGACCACAGCAGGCAGCATCCTGGTCCCTGCTCGCCAGAGAAACAGGTGGTGAGACAGCGGGTCCCACCCTGGCCCATCACAGCAGAGCTGTGTGTGAGCTGCACCTTGACAGCCTGGACCTCCAGGGTCCCCTCCACTGCCTCTCCTGAATGCCCAGGGACCACCGGTGTCTCCCGGCCATCTCTGTCCTGTGGTTGTAGAAGACCACTCAGTTCACCCGAGTCCCTGCACCTCTGGCCACGGAAAACCTTCATGCTGCCCTCACACATCTGACCTGATTCTGCTTTAAAGTTTTCAGAAGGTGAATGCTTCATAAGCCCAAGAAATGAGAGCAGATCGAGGCACCATCGTAAATGTGGGAGTTTTTTCTCTCAAGGGGACCCTATTTTTCTGAACCATAGAATCAGACTCCAGGTCAAATTCAATTTTTCTTGGCTGGGAGGTCCTGGTCCCAAATCCTCTGAATCACTGTGGGAGTCGCTGGTTACACTGAAGAAATAAACGCCGGCAGGTATTGCCACACACCTGAAAAGCAGAACGCTGGCAGTGGAGGTAGGAAAATCATCCGAGTTTGAAGTCATATTGAGCTACATAGTGAGACTATCTCAAGAAACCACAAAAACCAAAGGCTTTCCCTTGAATTCTGAGCCCAGCAGCCCCTCTGACATACATAAGGACACACGGAGGAAAAGCCTGGCCCTGAGCCCAGCATCAGGACAAGATCGTGGGGAGCAGCGGCAGCTGGGCCTCTGGACCCCAAAGGGCAAGTTGGGCCATGCTGGTCACTGGGCTGAGACCCAGTGCTGCTGCAGGAGCAATCCCTGGGCTTCTGTGGTGGCTCGCCCTGAAGAACAGTGCGTTCTCCCCGCATCCGTCACCCACTTCCCAGGAACCACACACACGTGTGCGTGTGCACAGCAGCAGAGGGCTCTTCCAGTGTGCATGTGAGGCCCAGGGCTGTCCCCAGGGAGAGCTGACTGTACTGTCACTGGACACAAAGCAGGCAAGCCTGCACCCAGTACAGGGCGTGGACACATGGGGACCCTGTCTCTGTGAAACCTTCAGCCCCTGGTCCTCAGGTGAAAGCTGCATCCTCGGATGGAAATTGCACTGTGGGTTTAAGGTCAGAGTACTTAAAGGCTGGTTTTCAGAGTGTCCTGGGCTCCACAGTGTCCTAAGCACCGCTAAGAGTGAAGAACTTGGAGTGAAGCCTTGTGGTATCCAGCAGAAATGTAATGCAGACCCCAGAAGTGACACGGGCGTCACCTCCAGTGGCCACAGTGCTTTGCTGCTGCCTTTCGGAGTGAGGGGAGGGTTCCTGACGCTGTCCCTGGCTTGGCAGGGGCGGACCCCCTGGTGGAGAACTTCGAGCCGCTGTACGACCTGGACGAGTCCTGGGAAAGGGCCGGTGAGGACGAAGGTGTGGTGCCGGGGACTACACCGCTGGACATGGCGGCCAGCTGGCAGGTGAGCGTGGGGCGGCGAGTCTGGGCGTCAGTGGGCTCTGGACACAGTGGAGACCAGAGAGGCCAGGACAGGGCATGGAGCCCACACAGCAGCCGGGCATCCCGGTCCCAGGCCAGCAGATCTGGTTGTGAGCTGGGACACGGGACAGAGGAACAAGCAGGACTCTCAGGGATTCCGTAAATAACAGGAAAGGGACTGAAAGCCCTCCTCCAGAGAAGCTGAGGGGAGACCGGAAGGAGAGAGGCTGTCCCCGAGTCTAGGGGGAGGTGGCCGCACAGGTCTCCTGCAGGACTGAGCCGTGCTTTCAGGGGCACTCGATGCCACGTGGGGACCACGGGGTTCCTCCTGGGCCCGCCAGCCCCTCCATGATGAGCCCCAGGGCCTGCAGGACACCAGAAGACTCAGAGCCTGCCAGCTTTGCTCTCAGCCTGACGTCTGCATGGTGTTTCTCCACCCACAGGTGTTCGATATCCTGAATGGGAAGCCATACGAGCCCGAGGTCGTGGCCGATGATGCCCTGGCCCAAGGTGCGTGAAGGCTGGGGGCGCCACGGGAAGGAGAGGCCGGCTGCCCTGTGTCCCTACACTGGGACCCTCTGTGTCCTCCGGAAGGCAGGGCTGGCGAGGGTCGGGACCAGCGCGCTCCTCCTGTCCCCACAGGGGACATGAAGCAACTAAGCGAGGAAGCCAGGCTGCAGCTCTACAAGCTGCTGGAAGTCCCCGACCCTGACAGAAACTGGGCCACGCTGGCACAGAAGCTGGGCCTGGGCATCCTGAACCACGCCTTCCGGCTAAGCCCCGCGCCAGCCAAGACACTCATGGACAACTACGAGGTAAGGCGTCACCTGGGGCAGGGAGCTCGACCCAAAGGCTGGATGTCCCTGTCCCCCTCTGCCCTCTGCCACCCCGCCCGGCTGCCTGTGTGGAGCAGATGGCACAGAGAGGGGCAGGCGGGGCCCCGGCGTCCCAGTCCCATGCTCTGACGGTGCCCGTCTCTCCCCAGGTCTCCGGGGGGACGGTCAAGGAGCTGGTGGAGGCCCTGGGACAGATGGGCTACACAGAAGCCATCGAGGTGGTCCAGGCAGCCTGCTGCGGCTCAGGGGTCCCCAGCCCCGTGAAGGGTACCACGCAGGGCCCCCCGCTTCCCCTGTCACTGTCACCGCAGATGGGTAAGGGGAGTCCGGTGCGGCAGGGTGTTCCCACTCTCCACCGGTGTGGGGTCTTCCGGTCTCGGGGACACAGAGGACGGGGCAGTCCCCACCATCACCCTCTGCCCCTCACTGTTCACACACGGGGACTGTGACGTGGACATGGGGGCTGCCGGGGCTCCCATCAGCACCGCACCCAGCAGCATGCAGCAGGGTGAGGTGAACCCACTGCACCCCTCAGGTCTGGAGGAGGGGACTGCAGAGGGCTGGGACCGGGCCAGCCGGAGCAGTGAGGGCCACAGCCCTCCACCACAGCACCCTGGCTCCCCCAGGGACCCGTCCTCCTGAGGTCTTCCCCATGCTTGGGACACCGACCTGCTTACTGCCAGTCACCCCTCAAGCACAGGGCCCCCTGGGGCTGCTTCCAACGGCCCCAAATCCTCCATCTCTGCCAGGGTCGCTGTGCCCTTCCCTGGCTCCCGTCCTTGACTGTCATCTGTCCACCCTGGGAAACAACACAGCCAGCCTCATCTCTGCTGCCTGGGGTCAGCCAGTGCCTTCCTGCCCTGCTGGTTAATCCAGCACATGACCAGAATTTCCTCATCTGTAAAAACAAAACAGAAAGCCGGGTATGGGGGTACAAGCCTGTAATCCCAGCATTCTGGGAGGCTGAGGCAGAGGATGGCAAGTTCAAGCCCATCCTGGTCAATTTAGCATCTTCGTGAGACTGTGTCAAAATGAAGATGTTTTTAAAGGAATGGGGATGAAGCTAAGTGTGAAGGCCCTGAGTTCAATCCGTAGTACCGGAAAAACAAAATGGAAACAAAAATAATTCAGTGCCTTGCTCCCACACCTTTCAGCTAGTCAGGTGTGTCTGTTCATCTGCACAGCAGAGCTTCTCAGAGTATTCTAGAACATCCTCACGGCTCAGGAGAGGGTTCTAGAACATCCTCGCTGCTCAGGAGAGGGTTCCAGAGCCGCTTCACATCTGGCCCTTCCCGGCCCCTCAATCAGGCTCCCAGTCCTTCCTCTCTCACACACACCAGGATCCTCTCTCAGCATGGGCATCACGCCAGCCCCTACTCCATGCTGTCCCCACGCATGGCTTTTCCCAGGTCCCCCACCACACCACTCCCCACCCTTGCCTCTTACAGTTGCAGCCCTGAGTCAGGTCCGAGCCTGACTCACTTCCCTGCACTGGGCTCCTGACCAGTGCTGGCCCCATCTGTGAGAAACAGGGCAGTTTTTAGGGTTCGGACAGACTCTGAGAATCATCCCTTGGGTCCTGACAACAAGAAAACCCACTGAAAGGAGGCAAGGTTTATGTTGGCTCAGGATTTCTGAGGGCTCAGTCCATGGTCGGCCAGCTCAGAGGCAGGACCATCATGGTAGAAGGCCCTGGTGGAGGGGAGCTGCTCACCCCATGGGAAGCAGGGAGAGAGGGGGGAGCAAGAATGAGGACCCACCCTTCCAGGTGCCATCATAGGGCTCCTCCTGTCTTCCTGTGAACTTGTCCTGGACTCACCCATGGATGAGTCCAATGCCCCGTGGTTGTCACCTCCCACAGCCCCTCTGGGGAGCACAGGAGTGTTTGCAGGCATCTTCAATCCATACCACATTTCTTGTGCATCCTTCCTGGGCCAGGTCATCTCCTCCCATCCCCGCAACAACCTCACCCAGACCACCTTCCTTGCTGGACCCCTCATACTCGGTCTTCTCCCTCAGCCCACTCTGCACCAGTGGTGTGAATATGTGTGTGTGTGTGTGTGTGTGTGGTGCTGGGGATTGAACCCAAGGCCTTCACACTGGGTTACTTTGAGACAGGACCTCACTAAGTTGCCCAGGGTGAGGTTAATTCAAGATCCTCCTGTCTCAGGCTTCCAGAGTGCTGAGATTAGGAGACCTGTGCCACCACACCCAATGGTGTGATTCTTTTTCCAAGTTAGTGAGCCATTGTGGCCTCTCTGTCCCCTCCAGTCCAGCAGTGGGTGACGAGTCAGTCCCACGGTGCCCAGCACCCCCCAGAGCCACCCCGGAAGCCGAGATCCCAGCTGGGCCCCTGAATCCTGCTTTCTCCCCGCAGATGAGCTGCGAGACCAGGACAGCATCTGTGACAGCGGCGTGGAGACGTCCTTCCGCAAGCTCAGCCTCACGGAGTCCCTGCCGGGCAGCAGCCCCTTGCTAACGCTTAACAAAGGGCCCCCCGACTTCGGGCAGGAAGAACCCATAGAGGGCAAGATCTAGCCGCCGTGATGGCCACGCCGCGCAACCAAAGTTCGAAAGTCCAGCGCCTTGCCTGAGAGACGGGAGACTGGGCATCCAGAGGCGCTCACAGAAAGGTGACCCAGAGCCAGCGGCCACCGCGGGCCTCTGAGTGCGGTGCCCGGGTCGTCAGCTGAGCCCCGGCTGGGTCCCAATGTCCAGACAGGAAGCCCCTGGCAGGCGCAGCCCACGGAGCCACCAGCGTTTCTGGGCGAAGGACACGCAGGTGTCACCGCTGCCGCTGGGTCACAGCTGCTTTCTCTTCCGTCGCTGCTGCTGCTGCTGCTGTTGCTGTCCCTCTGCTGTGTCCCGAGACCCTCCATGGCTGCCCGGTGTCTTTCTAGCCATCCGGGCAGGCTGTGCACTTAATAGAAGGAAGGTGGTATTTTTAGGTGAGCGTCGCTTGGTGTGTGACAAAGGCTGCACGTTTCCTGATGCAGCGTCGCTGTGATTCGCAAAGCACGCACTCGGCAATATTTAAACATGGTTCCAATCAGTGCTGAAAGTGGTACCCCCCCTTTTTTCTGCATTTTGCTATTGTAAATATGTTTTTTAGACCAAATACTTTAAAGGAAAAAAAGTTGGATCTATAAATGCTATTTTTTATTTTACTTTTATAATAAAAGGAAAAGCAAACGGTTGACCTCTGTTTGATCCCCTCTAAGATGACATGTTGTCACGTGGGGCATCTGGAGCTTGCCCAGCAGTCACAGTCCCCTTTAGACGCCATTTTTTGATTCAGAAATGAACAACAAAAAGAAAACCAAAGGAAACATGTTTTACCCCAAGATGAACGCTGCAGGCTCGTCCAGCCCCGGCCCAGGTCCTGTCCTGTGGACACCGAGCCTCCCTGCTTCGTGACGCACTGAAACATGCCTCGTCCGGGCCCTGGGTGAGGAGCCTTCCCGCAGGAAGCCCTGTTGAGCTGCCTTCCTCCCAGGCTTGGAAATCAGAGCAGGCACAGTCACGTTTAGGGACAAGATGCAGTGGTAGACACTACCACTTTCCAGTTTCCCTCTTGGATTATTATGATTTTCGCAGTGCTGGGAATGCCAGGCAAGTGCTCCCCACAGAACCCCACTGCCTGTCCCAGGACCCCTCTTAACAAGCCCTGGACTGCCACTGTGGAGAGCCGGTGTCCCCATCCCCCTGACAGCTTCCACACACATCTCATCCTGAAGGCAGATGAAGGCCGGCCTGCCAGGTCCTGTGAGGGAGGCTGTGTGGGCCAGGGTCCCTGCAGTACGTCCGTTCAGCCCCCTCCCTCCCTTCCTTCTGTCCGTCCACAGCTCTTGGTCCCAGAGTCACTCCAAACAAATGTCTCAGAGGACCCAACCTTCCTGGGTGCTGGGATCTGTGCTGAACAATTTTGCACAACATCATAGGTCAGTAGGTCACTTAGTTAACCCAATGAGGCACACAGATTTATCCCCAGCACACAGAACAGAAAACCGAGGCTTAGAGAGTTGAAGTAGACTATGGCTGGGCAGCTTCTGGGTTTACATCCACTCTGCCCAGCTCCTGAGCTCATGGGCTGGGTGTTGTCTTAGTAGGATACAAAGGTAGATAAAAATAATTGAGTCTAGAAGTGAACTCCAGAATATACAGGAATGTACTATAAAGTTAAATTTTAAGTCAGTGAGGAAAAAATGATATTCAAGAAACATGTCCCAGCGGATGAGTCGACTGGAGCAAGAATCGTGAATAAACAATCTGAAGTTGGGACAGCCCCGCTCGACAAGGCTTTATCCTCTGGTGGAGACACAGTCTGGGTCGCTGAGTTTACAGTGTCACAAACACCGACATTCCACAGTTAACAACCAGATTCCAGTCCTGTGATTAGGTCATTAAGTGATTTGGTCGCTAAATGAGGAACTGTATGTGGTGTGCACATTACAGTGTTCAGAACAAAGAAGTGGTCAGAGAAAACTCCAACTGGGGGACTTGACTTCTCTTTGCATAACTCTTCCATGCAGTGTTGTAATATATAAACACACAAAGCCACAGTACTGTATTGTTCGGTACAATCAGCAAAAATTACAGTTATGTGCTGCAGCGGAAGCCACCACAAGGCCACATGCTCATGTTCCTATGCCGTGAGTCAGAAGGCAGGTTGTAAGTCTGAGTTTGCCTCAGTCGTAAGTCCAAACCATCATGGTAGGTCAAACAAAGACTATCTGTAAATACAATTTTTAAGAAATTCTGTTTTATATTCCATTGCTATTTTCTCCACCCCTATGATTCTAGTTTTGGAAAAGTGAATCTATAATATCTTGGTCACTTTGCTGTCCCTGGGACCAATACTCAACACCCGCATTTAAAGGAGAAGAGGTTTATTTTGGCTCACGGTGTACAGGTCCAGTCCGTAGTCAGCTGGCTCCAGAGCAGGGCAGCGTGGGGAGGGTCTGCAGAGGACAGCTGCTCACAGCATGGTAGACAGGAAGCAGAGTCTAGGAGGGAAATCACACCCCCTAGGGGCCACTTCTTCCAGCCAGACCCCCTCCTAATAGCAATCACCTCTGGGCCTATACCCGGTCATCTATATAAACCATAGCAGACAGGAAAAGGCACAGCTCTGGGTTTCTCAAATTCGCACACGAGCAATTTATATCCCATACTCCCACTGGGTCCCTGGGTGGCAGGTGGCCCTTGTCCCTTGGGCCACAGAGGGGTCCTGTCCTCCTGTGTGTTGACCCCTCCTGCCCAAGGAGCGAGGGCTGCCTTCTCTCCTGTGAGTGTGAGTTGTTAGAGACTAGTGTAAAAATTCTCCAGTCCCCACCTGCCCAGTGTACAATGCAGGCCTGAGACTAAAACTAAAAGACAGAACTAGGACAGAAAGTAGGGTGCCAGGATGACCAATGCCACTGCAACCAGTCCCAGGCACTGACTTTTATTGGCAATCAATTGTACATGTGGTTTGGTTTTGTTTCTTGTTTGATACCAGGGATCAAACTCAGGACCCTGCACTTGCAAGGCAGGCGGTGGAACCACTGAGCTAAATCCCTGGCCCCACGTGGTTTTTATGGAAATTAATGTAAAAAAAAGGCTCATAAAAGATAAGACAAAGCATTCCTGAATTAGGAACAGAATAGATGAAATTCACGATTGTACTTAGAACACTGTCCTTCTAGACAGAAGGTTTGAGTGGGAACAGAATTTGGGTGCGAGTTGATCTGGCCCTGGCACATAGGCTTCGGCCGGACTCACTTCTATAAACAGGCCAGGTGTGGGGTTAGCTCTTCCCAGCCTGCACTGCTTACAGCCTGCTTTGGGCATAATGAATATTACGGTCCTCTGCAGTGGGTGCCCGTCATAAGCAGGAGAGAGGCTAAGTAACTTCCCAGCCTCGTCACAACATGTAGCACGACTCTGCCCAGCCCTGCGGGGGCCTCTCCAAAACCCCAGCCGTGTGGCCACCCCTGGAAGTCAGCAGGGACCCTGGTGTGACCGGGAGCCCTAGCCCTAGCCCCAGGCCCCACCTGACCTTCATGCTGCTGGGCCTCACTGCCCGTCAGGCACACAAGCTGTCCTGCCGAGCACATCCACAGGGGCAAATCACAGACTGGAGACACTTGCGGCCCGGGCAGGGGGACTGCAGCTATTTTCCAGGTCTCTACCTGGGCAGAACCAGACCGGAATCCACTCCCCACAGAGCCGAGCTTGGCGGAAGACAGACTGGCCCATTCTCACCAAGGCGGGTACAGTGCTCAGCTAGGGAGCTGCTTCTCCTTGGCCCCATCCTGGCTGCAGATGGGACCCACACCCCAGGAAAGCAGGAGGTCTACAGAACCACAAAGACCTGCAACAAGCCTGCTGGCTGCCCGGCAGGAGCCTGCCTAAAAACAGTCCTCAGAACTTGGGCATCTTTGAGTCTCCGCCTCCACAGGCCTGGCAGAACCAGACCTGCTCCAGATCCAGATTCGCGTCCTCTGCAGCACCAGGGTGCTGTGGGTAACCCTCACAGTTCTTCTGGGGGCACCTTGTGGGGTGCACAGGAGAGAAAGGACGGAGCAGGGCAACTCTACAAGGTGCTGAAGCCATAACGCCCCAAGCCCAGCGCAGTGCACCCGGAATGTAGTAAACGCACATCCAGGGATCAGTTTCCCCTACTAACAGGCTGAAATGCTTCAGTAGGAATCACTGCTCCCCTCCTCCTTCCTACTCTGTGCTTTCCCGGGGAGTTTTCTTTCTTTCGCTCGTCCCTAAGCAGAGAGTGTGGGGAGGCACGAGGTTCCAAGGGACACGGTTCAAGCGCTCTGTGTTTTCAAAGATCCCAGCACTTGGGCTGGATTCGGCTGGGACTGGAGCATCCCATGCAAGGCCCCAGGTTCCAGCCCAGCACCAAAACATAAATTTTAAAAAAAGCTAAAGCCAGGGTACACGCCTGTAACCCCAGCACTCAAGAGGCCGAGGCAGGAAGACTGCTGCTAGTTCAAAGCTACACAGTGAGCTCAAGGCCAGCTTGAACTATATAAAAAAAAAAATCTCAAAAAATCAAAATAAAGAAGGAAAGAGTCTGCCTGTCTTCGCTCCATCTTCCTGACTGACCATGGTAAAAGGCACTGCAAGCACAGACTCAGCATCGAGTCCAGTCCACACCCTCTGTTCTCACAGAGGAAGCAACAAGGGCTCAGCGGGTCGGGTGCTGTGCACGGTCCCATGGCCAGGAGGTCTCGACGGGCAGCTTGGCATCAGGAAGTGTGGCTGGACGGCTGGCCCAGGACCCAGGGGATGGGCCACCCGTTAGCTGAATTATTGTACTTTTCTCCAAATCAAACAACACAGTAGATATTATTATTCACTTTTTTTCTTTTTTTGCTTGTGTTTGCCTTTTAGACGAAGTCTCCCTACACAGCCGAGGTTACTCTTAATGCACTGTGTAGCCCAGGCTGGCCTCCAACTGGCAGAGATCCTCCTGCCTCAGCCTCCCGAATACTGGGATTACAGGCATCCGCCACCATGCCTGGCAACATCTAGGTTATTATTCCCTTTTCTTTTTTTTTTTTTTTGGTACCAGGAATCAAACTCAGGTCTTTGTGCTTGCGAGGCAGGCAGCAGAACCACTGAGCTAAATCTCCAGCCCCTCTTATTATTCCCATTTTAACACACACACAAACATTAAACCCTGAAGTTAGGTAACGACTAAAGCTGCAGAACCCCGGAGTAAACGCCAGCCAGTGCAGGTCAAAGCTCACCTCGCAGTCAGCTGGAGGAAACACTGGAGCTAAGAAGGGAGCGACTCTTCTCCCCGCAAGGTCCAGCGTCGCAGGCACAGGAAGAAGGAGTGGGTGCTAAGTGGCCTGAACTTACTTTCCTTTTCACGCAGAACCGCATGCCTCTCAGTGGTAAGGCGACCCCTCACGTCCACTCACTGCTGTTCCACGCAGCCACTTCCACAGCAACCTTTCAAACTCTTGGCTAAGATCCCACCAAGGCTGCCCCATCATGCGGACGTGAACACCCAGCACAAGGTCGCGGCGTGATCCAACAAGTCACAGGTGAGATAGCAAGGTGTCACAGAGCTTTCATTTTCCCATAATTTCAAACTCACAGAAAAACTGCAAAAATGATACAGAAATTTCACGTAGCTTTACCATCATTAGGTACTTATTAATATTTTGCACCATTATCTTTCCTATCAATGTAATGTTGTAAATGCGATAATGAGTAGCAACAATTTTAGAGCAACTTACAGTTAATCGATATAAATAAGTGATCTGAACCCTTGACAAAGGGGAACATCGCTTTGGCGCCAGGGATGACAAGTCTACGTCTAATCCACGCCTCTGAGCTGGAAACTCATTGGATTTGGCCAAATCTGAAGCCCACACATGTGCCAATGTCAGGGCACCCCAAAATTCCCAGTGCCCACGGTGATTTCAGTGCCAGCTTACTTTTCAAAGGATCACTCTCAGGGTCTTCTGAAAACTAAGTTATTGTCACCAATGCAGTATTTTATTTAACTGAAAATGAATAAGAATCTTATCCCCAATCAATCCCCAAACAACCATCACGCCCTAAATAGTCTGAGAACAGGGATCAGCACGGCTGTCACCATGACATCTCTCCTTCTGACAACTGACGCTTCAGTAACCAGGCACCTCAGAGAGATCATTCGGCAAGACAGAAGGAGGGGCGGGGGAGGGTTGGGAGGAACCAGTGTTGTGTGTGACTCCCCCAAGGAGTGTGGCTCTCACGTCCTGCAACGTGTGCTAAAAAATAGAAATTAAAACCAGTACTTCTGGACGCTGACTGTGAAAGGCCTGCATCACCTCACAGCCTCCTGGGTGTAGATTCACAGACATTGCCACTGTCCCCTTCCTGTGACTCCCGGAAGGGCCCTGCATGAGGACGTCACCTCAGTAAATGTCTGTCAGGGAGGTCACGCGGAAGGACTGCTCCAGGTCACTCTTGCTGGTGGGCGCCCACGGGTGAAAGAGAACAGTCCGCGTCTTCTCGGTCATAAGGAAACCGTTGTCACTGAACCTCCCCGGGATGCTCCCGACGTCCAACCACACAAAGGGCGCCACCGCTGACGTCTCCAACTCAAAGGCAAATGTGTCACCTTGCTGCGAGATGGCGGCCTGGAACAGAAGATGAGTACCCAGAAGGCTGAGGCAGGAGCCGAGCCACCTGGAGGACAGCTCCTCCTCCTGCTGTGCTGGTCACACGCCCCACAGACACTCAGCTGTGCTTAGGAAATGACTTAGCTACGTGGGAAATAACCACACTGTAATTTCAAACCAAGGAAATGCGACACCCTGAATCATAAGGAGAACATTTCCCAAGGACCTTAAAGCTATCTTGCATCACTCTTCCCAGAGCAGGAAAAGACCACCCGGCATAAGGCGGTGGCTTAAGTGACCTGCTGAGGACATGTCTGGACCTGCTGCAGAGCACGGCCGCCAGCTGACCTCGAGGCTCTGAAACTCAAGCCGGACAGCAGCCTGCAGGCCGGGGGAGCACAGGACGGTGAGCCATTAGCACAGGGGGCGGGGCACACACGGGGTGAGCAAAGAGGACGGCAGGGCTCACATTTAAAGTGCTCATTACTGTAAAGGACACATGGCCACAAATCCGCCCAAAATCCTCCCCCTCAATCCAAACACACCCATCCCATCGTCCTCGCCACTTCCTGCAGCAGCTCTGGAGTCCTCTTTCCTGAGCGTCTTTAGGAGCTGTGATCAAAAATACAGTGGTTGCCGCTACCGAGTGCCGAAAGGCAGCTCGTAAAAACACGATGCTGAGTCCTCATCCACCTTAGTCACCGGGTCTGCACGGTGTGACTCCAGCTGTTCCTCAGTCCAAATGACCGTGAGAGGGAAAAAATTCAGGACACAGAGGCAGCCAGGACAGCACAGCTAAGACACTCACGAAACAAGACTTCAAGAACGGCTTCAGAAGGTGGCAGGAACAATGGGATCAGTATGTTTCAGGTAATGGGGTGGATTCTGAGGGGGATTCATGGCAACGCGTCGTTTACTGTGTAATTTTTTTAAATTTAAACATATACCATATTCTTTGATCATTCCTAACCCACGCTATGCTATATGGTCTTTCATTACTTTATGTGTGACATAAAGTACTTCAAAGGGCATTTCCTTTACTGTATCAGCTCAGCCCCAAAGCACTTATGGGATTATCATTCCAGGTCCTCACTTATAAAAAGAAAATCTAGGGCCTGGGATTTAGCTCAGTGATGCCGCCATCTGCCTCACAAGTGCAAGGTCCTGAGTTCGATCCCAGGTACCAGAAAAAAAAAAAAAAAAACCGGAAGAAAAAACAAAACAAAAAAAGCTATGTGAACATACATCATTTCCTTCTGATCTGTTTTACTAGTCGTTATTGATAACTTGGGCATCATTATGTGAATATTTCACTGTTAATTTGGAAAGAAGGTTTGTCTTCAACTGTTCTACCCTTTTCAAAAAAATACCACCAGGACACTTATATGACTTCTAAAAATCAATTTTAAAAAGCTTCCTCAATGAAATAAAAGTACAAAACAAATTCAAGATTTGTTAAAAACAGAAAATGAAACTTTCTAGAAGAGTATCGTCAGGCACAGTGTGGGGAGAGAGGGAAGGTTTCCAATGAGCCAAGCCCACGCCCTCCAGCAGATAAGTTTTATAGCAGCACGGCCCACAGGACCGCTTTTCTCTCGGCAGTTATAGAGCTCTGGGGATTAAGCCACAGGTCAGGCTGTGCAGTGATTACAGATGAGACTTACAAAACTGGTGTGTAGGACCCTGTGCTGCTGCTTGCTCCTGGCACAGCCTGAAGGCTAACACCACAGGGTTGTTGTGAAGGTCCAGGTGACACCGCGGAGCCCCTGGATCCTGGTGCAGACCCATGGGGTGCGGCTGGTGGAAGCTGGGCTGGAAACTGAACCCCCAAACACACTCTGCACTGCAAGTGAAAACCCTCCGGTCTCTGCATCCAGCGTGAGGGGCATCTCCCCCAGGCCGAGGTCACCCCAGAACTAAGGGCGAGGCGTGCCGTTAGGGTGCAGCCAAGGGCTCTGCAGGCCCAAGGCCACGAAACCCTGGCTCACCGTGATGCGCGCCTTGAGCAGCCCTTCGGCGTCCTTCAGCGACGACAGGAAGTGGTAGCTGACTGGGCTCACGAGCTCACTGCCAGCGGAGAGGTAGAAGGAGAGCACGCAGCCCCGCCGGGTGCAGTTCCCGCACCTGCTTAGCAGGTGGCCCACGGGCTCGCTGTAGAGGCGGGCGGTGGTCCCGGCCTTCAACACCAAGGACCCCATGGCCTGGACACACACGGGCTTCAGGGAGCGCCAGGAATGCACTGTTAGCTGCGGGAGGAAGCAGGAAGAAGGAGCCCTGAGGGCGGGGACAGTCACTGCGGTGGGGACAGCAAAGCTGGGTTTCAGTCCAGCCGCCCAGCCTCTCTTTCCTCACAGACAATGACCACACAGACATCACGGGCAGCGGGGGACACCGAAGACCTCCCACGTGAGGCAGGGCCCCACACACGGTTGGCCTCCAGGGTGGCCAGCGCCCCCAGGGCAGCCGTCCAACACAGGGGCTCCTGCTCTTTTCTATTCACTTAAACTTGTTTTAAATCCAAGTTTATTTTTCTCTCCGCCCCTGCCGGGTAGTTGTTCTGATTTCAACTTTAACACACCAAGTTTAACCAGTTCCTTTCGCAAACTCTGGACAGCTGCCTGCTTGTCCTGATTATAAATCACCTTACACCTGCATGCACTTTGCAGTCTTCATAATTCAGGTAATTCACTATTCTCAGACACCTCCAGGGCGACAGGCTGTGTCACCTCGCATCAGAACGCAGACTTCCCAAGTGGTCCTGCGGCGCCCGGCAGAACCATAACCCAACTGCTGTCCACACTGCGTCCTGACCCCAAGGACCACACCTTTTCCAGCACAGGCACTAAAGGTATTCTGATACAAAGTAATTTCTCCCCTATTAGTCCCCAAAGCCACAGAACCCAGGCACCAAGGCGCCCGCCTCCAGCCCTCCACGTCCGGCAGCAAGGCCCGGGGACTCACGGTGAGCGTCACGTTCCGGTCCTCGTGCAGGTCGGACACGCCGTGAATGTGAATCACGTCCTCACCCTCGAAGCCCACGGGCAACAGTGGGGCGAAGAAATGCCGGGCGAAGTAGTGCAGCATCTTCCACTTGCCACCGTACTCTGTGGGCAGCGAGGAGGTCAGGGAGGCCAGGGTCAGCGAGCAGAGTCCCTGTCCCCGCTGTCCCTGCGGCCGGCTGTGGGGCTGGCAGGAGTCTCCAGGGTGAGGGCGTTGAGGCTACACTCGGTCAGGGTCCTGGGCATCCTGGGCATCCTGTCCCGTCCCATCACCCTGGCCACAGCGGGCGAGGGGGCAAAGGAGGCAACAGAGGCTGCAGGGGGGATTTAAACCCATCAGGAGCAGGTTCTAAGCCCACACCCGGCTCTGACAGCGCCCTCCATGGTGACAGTGCTCTCCCCATGGACAAGGAGGCCAGCGCAGCCCTGCTGGGGGCGCCCACTGCAAAGGGTCCCAAGAGCCACTCGACACTCAGCGCCTCCTTTCCCTGGGCACAAAGCCCTCAGGGAACCAAAGCAGCTCCACAAATGGGGTTGGGAAGGTTGGACCGGAGGAAAACACACACCAGGGAATTAGTAGCTGTGCCACAATCAACCAGAACCTGCAGAGAACCTGGGGGTTCCGCGTCCTGGTGACGCGGCCAGTACAACAACCCCCAAAATAGGCGCTCCTCCCCTCTTCCACCTCAGCGTTTGCCCATTTCAGGATGAGGCCCTTCCCCAAAGCAGCGCACCCCTCATGCTCCAAGGTCCGACCAGGTTGAGGAAGCAGCTAATTCTTGCTGTGCCATCATCCCCTTCCTGAGCAACTCAGGCAAATGATCTGTGACACAGGCAAGGCTGCACACACCTGTGATCCCACCATTTGGGAGGCTGAGGCAGGAGGATCACCACAAGTTCGAGGCCAATCTGGCCTCTCCTGTTTCTTGACTCAACTCAGACTCTGAAGTCACAACCTTGGGCACCAACAGAGAGCAGGGCCAGTGTCCCAGGGCTTCTGAGCAGCCTCCCTCTGTCTACCTTTCCAGCACCCCAGTAGCTGTCCCGTCACTGCCTGCCCAATTCCTTCATGTTCCCTCCTCCTGTGGTGCTGGAAGAGCCTAGGCAGAACCCTGACCTGCAACCCGACTCCCAAGTTACCTGCATGACGCTAACCAGGTTTGGGATGGACCGTGGGACTTGCACCTCCGCGAGTCAGCCTGTTTACTGGGAGGCCTTCCCCCAACCGAAGCGACCGCTTTTATTACTATCTGAACTTCGCTTCGAATTACCTCCAGGGAAAGCCAAAGACTCATTGCTACGCCTTCATTTTTGCTAACTGTAGCTAAGTAGATGGGATCACTCAAACCGCAAGCTCCACGCCAGTCTCTCACCTGCTGCTAGTGAACCAGGAAGGTTGCCAGCTCAACCAGCCGAGGCTGGATCTCTGACTCTACTACATCCTGCACCTGAAATAAACAGGGCATAAGAAAGAAGACCCTGCAGAATAACGGAGTCAGAGAAGGAGCACTTTAGCAGCTAAGCGGGCCAATCCGCCCTGGGCAGCATTTTCCTACTCTATGCAATAACTGCAAGGCACACGGCTGGGATCTCTGGATGTGAACTGTCCCTTGCTGGCCCGCTGTGACTGCACACACAGTGCTCAGAGCCCCGTGTGGGGTCAGGGTGGGGAGTCTAGGGGTTGGCTTGGGAGCTGCCCTGAGGACTGGAGGGGCACTTTCACATGTGTCTGGGCAGGTCTCTCTGGCACTGTTCCCCGGTTCTGCTTCTCAGCTGCCGTGATGCAAGCATCTTTCCTCTGCCAGACCCTTCTGCCATGATGGTTATGACTTGGAGTCAGCTGACCACGGGCCGAATCCCCTAAAACTGTGGGTCAGACTAAAGCTCTCCTGGTTCTGGATGTCAGGTATTGTTTGGCTCTGATGACTAATACACGTCACAGCTAAGCGAGGAGACACTGCTGATGTGAGTGGGGGGTGTGGGTCACACATCCGGTTCCAACAGCCCCTGGGGCCCCAGCTCCGCCTCAGTTCACCTGGCCCTTCGAGCTCAGTGCGTTCTTGCTCCCTCTCCCTCAGATCTTGCTTCGCTCTCTGACACAGAGGGCACTGAAGCTCTTACCTAGAGAGGCCCAAGAAGGAGCCTGCCAGATGTCATTCAGCTGCCAATACAGCGCCCCCATGGTGTGACCCTCACCGGCCACTATCTCGCTGCGGCTACGGCGATAGAACTCGGTTTCCGTTTTGACGCACTGGGCCTGCATCACCTGAGTGGAAGAGACAGCCACACACACAGGCGTTACTGTGTGACTAGGCCATACAGATCTGGGGGAAGATCTGGGTGTTGTTTTTGGAGAAATGAACTAGGGAATTTCGTTAGCAACAGAAATATCATTACTACACTAGGTATGGAGCCTAAACTCAAAGGAGGAAAGGTTTTACTTTGGCTCACATTTCCTGTCCACTGTTGGCTGGCTGCAAGGCAGAAGGACCTGGGAGGAGGGTCTGGCGGAGGAGTGCTGCTCACCTCATGGCAGCCAGGAAGCAGAGAGAGAAGGGAGGAGTTAGAAGGGAGATGCACCCTCCTGGCCTCGCAGAGTGACTCTGAGAGACGGCTAACAGTGGGGCTGCAGAAGCGGGGCTGTCCATGCTCTGGGGTGCCCACATCCACCCTTCAGGGCCCTGGTGCCGGACACGGAGCTTTAGCATCTAACACCTGCTGGGGCCTGGTCTTCCCTTGGTCTGATTCTCTCATCTCTACCTTTTGGAATGGGATTGTTTACCCTCTGCCACTACACCTACAGCTTACCTGTTTAACACTGTTCAGACTTACGACTCCCTGCTCAGACTTAGGACCTGTCTTTTTTTCTGTACAGTTCCGTACATCTTGTTGATACAGCCTCAAGGTCTTTTTTGTGCAGTACATCTTGTTTATATAGTACTGTGATTTTTGCCAATTACACTACACTGTACAGGACTGTAGTTTTATGTCCTGTTATACATTACAGTACTACATGTAAGAGTTAAGCAAATAAAAGCAAAGTCATCAAGTTGGAGTCTCCTTTGACCCTTTGTTTGGAATATTCTCATGTCTTGCTTGTTGGACTTTTGGCTAAGATCAAGTGGAATGTTCTCATGTACATACTCTATACATTTCCTCATTTAGCAACCAATTCATTTAACGAACTCAGTGGTTAAATGAGGAGAGTCTGTATGTCAGCCGTTCTAGGACTTTTCAGAAGCTCACAAGCGGAGTCTGCCTCAAGGCTCAGAGGAGACTTGGACTTCTGAGCAAGGCAGGAACTGTTAAGACTTTGGGGTCCTGCTGATGGATTCAGTGGCTGTTACACTGTGAGACAGACAGGAACCCCTGGGGTCTGGATGTGTCCCCCAAAGATCCACTGGTGAAGGCTGGGCCCCAGCTTGGCGCTGCTGGAAGGTGGGCACCTTAAGCACGGGGGCCTGGTTCACAGGGGTGGTCTCTTCATCTCTCACACTTCCTGGGGGGCCCTACCAGGCTCTTGCCATACTGTGCCACTATGCGTAGAGCCAATGGATTCTGGACTGAAAGCTCTTAAAACTGTGAACCAAAATAACCCTCTTCTCTGGCAGCTGATCAGCTCAGGTTTGTTATGGTGACCAAAAGGTGCCATCGGACATGTTGCACAATGGTAATTCATTAGAAAACCTCTGGAGCTGCTGCACTCTCTCTTAAAATGTACCTGTGTTTACAAACCACACACGCTTTCCTAGGAAGGCGGCTTCACTACCACAAATACAGGCACTTAGTCACTTCCTAGGTTACTCAGCCCCACTGCAAGCAGGCACATCTTATTTTAGTTTTTAAAATATGCCCCTTGCAGCAGCTTGTTGATTCCACTCATGAAACCAGTCTCCTTGAAGGGACAGATGGGACGGTGAAGAGGCTGGGCCCCGAGGCCGGCTCTGCCGCTGTGCCGGAGGCGCTGGCTGTCTTCGCAAACCCACTCCCTGGCTCCCCAGTGACAAGACCGTCGCTGCACTGCCTGTTTCCGAGACAGACCCCCCCACCCCTGGAACTAAGCGCTTCCAATTTTTAGACATTTTGTTTCTCATCACGCTAATGAGGATCATCCAATAAAGCAGTTTTTCAAACTGAAATGTAAATCACTTAACACTACAATTTAATGCTTATGACCCATTGGTTTTTAGGGTACTCAGGTTGTAACAATATTTCCAGAATACTTTAATCACCCCCAAAACACACCCTACCAGGTAACAGTCTGCCCCTATTTGCCCCTCTCTCCAGACTGTGAAAACCACAATCCTACTTCCAGTCTGTGGATCTAGCTATTCTGGACATTGCTTGTAAATGGAACAGTTCGGTATGTGGCTTCTGTGTCTCGCTTCTTAACTAGCACATTTTCAGGATTCACTCACGCTGTTACAGTGCATCAGCACCGATTCCTTTCTCCTCCACCTTTTGTTCACCCACGCAGGTCGATGAACATCTGGGCTCTTTCTCCTTTCTGGCTACGCTGACAAATGGAGCTATGAACACCGTGCACACGTCTTGGTGTGAACACAGGGTTTGAATTTCTCACCTAGGAGTGGGCTGGCTGGGCATGGCAATGACACGCCTGATGTTCTTCTAAACACACCAGCACCTTTCCGCCTGGGTGCCAATACTTGCTTTCCTTTGAAAGAAAAATCGTAGACAATCCTAATGGACATGATTCTGATTTGCATTTTCCTAATGACCAATGAGGCTGAGCAACTTTTCCTGTGTGTCTTGGCCATTTTCTCTAAAGAAATACCCATCCTGCTAGGAGTAGCGACACACACCTGTGATCCCAGCACTCCGGACGTGAAGGCAGGAGAATCCCTGCAGGTGCAAGGCCAGCCTGAGACATAGTGAGTTCAAGGTCAGCCTGAACTACATAGTGAGATCTTATCTCCAAAAACAAACGAAGAAATATCTACTCGAAGCCTTTAGCACTTTTTAAATTATTGTTTAATTACTGAACAGTAAAAAGTCTTCATGTAGTCAGGTCAGTAGATCCCTATCAGATGCATATGATTTGTAATTTTTTTCTCCCATTGTGTGGACTTTTTTCTTCTTTCAGTACCAAGGATCAAACTCAGGACCTTGTGCTTACCAACAGGTGCAGCACAATTGAGCTGCATCCTCAGCCCTTGCTTTCTTGATAACGTTCTCTGGCATATGAAAGTTTTACGCTTTGATGAGGTACACGTTAGCTATTTTCCCTTTGATTGCTTATTCTTCGGGTGTCATATTTAAGAAACTGCTGCCTAATCAAAAGTCACAAAGACTCATATCTATATATTCATTTAATAATTGCACAGTTCTAACTCTTACTTTTAGATCTTAAGTGCGTTTGAGTTAATTCCATATGGTTTTGCTGTTCTAATGTCATCTGCTGAAAATACTATCTCTTTCTCCTTTTTGTTGACTTGTGAATGTAAATCATTTTAGCTGTTACAGAAAACAGTATGCAGGCTAATTAGAAAATTCAAAATAGAGCCCCACACGCTCTAGCAGTTCCTCTGCTGAGTCTGTAGCCAAAGGATCAGTATGTAGAGGAGACACCTGCAGTCCAAGCTACCACAGCACAGGTCACAACAGGCAGGACAGGGGACCACTCAAGCAACTGTCACAAAGGGATGTTCCTGGCCTTGGAAACGAAGGAAATCCGGTCATTTGTGACAACATGGATTAACCTGGAGGACGTTAAGTGAGACAGAAAAGCACAGAAAGAAAGACACGGTATGATCTCACTTACGTGAGCAATATACAGAACATAGAATGGTTACCAGGGTGAGGCAGGGGTCTGGAGAGGGTGCTGCAGCTCCGTTACACAGGAAGAGGAAATTACAGAGCTTTATCTACTGTGCAATGTGGTCCTGCTAAGAACAAGATGCTGTATGCCTGAAAACCGCTGAGAGAGTAGATCTGACATTGTCAACACAAAAAAAGGACTAGGCATGTGAGTAATACATATCTTAAATTGCTTGATTTGGGCTTTCCACAATGTGTTTATGTGTGCGTCATGTTCTATACCATTAAAATGCTATATAGAAGAAAGCTACTTATTTTTTCTTAAAAATCAACTGACTATAGATGTGTGTGTGTGTGTGTGTGTGTGTGCATGCATGTATGTGTGTGTATTTCCAGATCCCACTCTACTGACTCAGTTTAGGCCTGGCCTCAGATGAGGACCCCACGGTCTTGATCACTGTGGCTTTGCAATAGTTTTAAAGCTGGAGTAGGAGTTCTCCACCTTCACTCTTCTTTCACAGGATTGTTTCTGACAATTCGTGCATTTCCACAAGTAATCTAGGATCTACCTGTCCATTTCTCAAAGGAAGTCAATGGGAATTTTGGAAGATTGCACTGAATCCACAGCTCGACTTGGAGAGAATGCTGTCACCTCAACAATTAAGTCTCCCCCATGAATACAGAATGTCCTTCCATTTGTTTAATGCTCTCCAACATCTCTGGTAGTTTGCAGTTTGACAGTCCTGTACGTCTCTGGAGAACTATACCGAGTACAGAAGGTCCCTCAATGATCTATTGAGGGTTTTCCAACTTGATGGTGGTTCAGACATGACACTGTAGACCTGCATGTTGAATATTTTCAATAATCAGCTAACCACATAGTTATTTTTATTTTATAGTAATAATTATTATTATTTTGTTTGTTTGCTGAGACCGGGTCTCGTTATAGGGTTCAGGCTGGCTTTAGATATTATTGATCTGGCTTATAATTTGGCTACTGATTAAAAGTATGAGTCACTCCAAGGCCTACCTGTGACTTGCTAAATGAGCCTTTGGCTGGGGTACACAGACTTCCCTATGCCGACAGTCACACTGGAGGTCTCAGTGATCGATGAGACTGTGACGTCTCTAATAACAAGGCAACACTGCAGCTGAGGAACCGTGACTCTGTGCAGCCATTCTGCAAGATCAAACATTAGCTAAAGATAACACAGGTGGCTCCTTAGCTATGACCTGCAAGACAGCACAGGCGCCTTGTTAACTGTGACCTGTCCTTCACAAGAATACAGTTGCGCATTGGTGCCTTAGTTCTGCAATTCCCTATACCTGCCTCTACCCCGTCGCTAGGTTGTATAATTATAAATACTGACTAATCCTGGTCTTGGCCAGGAGAAAGCTAAGATCCGAGTCCCAGCCCTCCAAGTAATAAACTACCATTCTTTATTTTTTTATTCTTGTCTGTTATTCTTTCATCCTCTGCTGCGCCCACAGTCAGGTGACCGGGCATCCCCTGGTAACTAACTGTTGGGTTTCTTTACCTGTTGAGACAGTCTGAGGTTATTCTTCCTGTGTTCTCCTAATCTGGTGTGTGGTATTGGCTGACTTTCACATGCTGAACCAGTACTGCAATCCTGGAGTAAACACCACTTGATCGTAGCGTGCTTTACTTCAGCATGGGTGGGTTTTGTCTAGGATTTTCCCCCCTCTATTTTCATAAGGAATATTGACCTGTAGGCTTCTTTTCTTGACATATCTTTATCTGGCTTTGATATCAAAGTAATACTGGCATCACAAAATGAGACAGGAAGTATTGATCCCTCTCCTTTTGTTTTCTGAAAAGTTAGTAAAGAATTGGTCTCGATTCTTTACGTATTCTTAGAATTCACCAGCAAAGCCATCTGGCCCTGATTTTTTCTTTGTAGGGCAAGTTTTTTGATTACTAAGTCCTATTAGTTGTTATAGGTCTATTCAGATGCTGCGTTTCTTAATTTTTGTAGGTTATCTCTCTAGCAATCCCGCTCCACTTCACCTAGTTACGTGATTTGCTGCCACGTAACTGTATAGGACAGTGGTATCTCAATTCACAGACTTGATTCTTACCCTGATTCTGATCACAAACCAAGATGGACAAGAATTGAATCAAATTCAGTGGTTAGGTTCAACATTGACCTTGTGAGGAAAATTTTTTCTCATCCAGTTTGGGTTGTGGCCAGAATTGTAGAGAAGATGGAGTTTGCGAACCGAGGTACCACTGTATTTCCTTACTGTGCTTTTATTTCTAAGGTGAGTAGCACTTTTCCCTCTCTCACTCCTGGTTCAGTCATCTGTATCTTTGCCCTTCTTCTTTGGCCAGTGTAGCTAAAAATGTTTGTTGATTTGTTGATCTTTTCAAAACAACTAATTCATGGCTTCAGATTTTGTTTAGTGTTCCATAATTACAGAGGAAGTGAGCAAAGTTAAACTGGCCCAGCACTCCGGGAGGCCGAGGCAGGTGGGTTCACAAGTTAGAGAGCAGCCTGGGTAACTCAGCAACTTAGTCCCATCTCAAAATAAAACATTCAAAAAGGGCAAGCTACAAAGCTCAGTGCAGAAGTCCTGGGTTCAATCCCCAGAGAAGGAAGGGATGGCTGGGTGGAGGAATGGAGAGGCACAGAGATGAAGGGAGGGTCCAAAACAATTCATGGCTAGTACCAGGCATTTAGCAGACATCCAACCAAAGCAGGAAAACATGGAAAGAAGCTCTCCTCCAGCTTTCTCAGGCAAGACTTTGCCAATGGTCACACCACCAGGTTCATCATCAGGAAGCCAAGCACCCTGCTCTTTAGGGCTGTGAGAGAAGATGAGGAAAGGGCAAGGTGTGAGGGGTCAGGGAGTTGGACAGGACAGGCTTCACTCCCACACAGACTCAAGATGAAGGCTCTACTGCCACAGCCACAGGAAAGCAACATGCTTTGCCCTAGCACTTCCTGTCTGCCCTCAGTCAGTCAAGGAAATCCGGAACTAAACACAAAACCAGAAAGCCATAACCCTGAGCTCTTGCACTGCAGACCCCACCTGGTGGGATTCGCACCGGGGCAGAAGTGGGAAATGGCCAGGACAAGCCAGCCAGAGCAACACTGAGGGGGGCAGCTTGGGCCACATCTCTGACAAAACCTGTCATCAGCAAACCAGCAACAGAGAATGTCTGTGACACTCCTGCACCCCGCCGTGAAGCTGGCAGGCTAAGAAGCTCAGAAAAGAACAATTATTTCTGTCAGGTCCTTGAGGAAAGCAAATAAAGCAACAGTGATAAAGCGAACAGCTGGAAGGAAGGAGAACAACAGGAAAAATAACAGCTGAAAAGCCATCTCCCTCCCTCCCACACACACATGACCAAGGACCGACCTATTTTATAAATCACATCAGTTTCACTGGCTGAGAAAAGCTTAAAAGAAGAACTGTAACGTTCAGAAAGGGGCAGATAGCACCCTCGCCTTTAACTCTGCTCCTGCTAACTTCTTGAACTACATGTCACTCTGGCAAAACTCCTCTTGTGATTTATATCTGGATGTTCCCACAGAGTCTTCATGGAGGTGAAAAAATTAAAATGTGATCATGTTTAACAAAGACTTCTGATCTTCAGATCAATGGATAGAAGTAGGATCCAGCTCTCACCATCTCTCTAAGAACTTGAAACAAGAATGCCAAAAACACGGGGTACCTGAGCGATGACATGCATGTAAGCTTGAGTGTGTGTAGTCACAGAAAAGAGGCAAATAAAACAAGTAAAATGGAAACATTAAGAAAATATCTAAAATTCAGGTCAGCAGTTTAAACTTAAAAAGTGAAGCCTAATTTTGCCACATCACTTAGCAATGCCACTCATAAATTTCCTAGCCCCTGAAAGGGAGAACATTGTCCACATAAAGACTCACGTGAGTATGAACATCAGTATCGTTCGCAATGATAGGAGGTGGGAACCATCTGCATGCACATCAGCTGATCAGAGACCACGTCCCAGAACAGGGGACAACACAGATCCACCTGGGACTGTCTGCTGGTGACACACACCAGGCCCTGACCCCACACACTGCAGACTCCAGCTACCTGGAAGGGGGTGACTCAGTGGGCACAAGGCACCTTTTTGGGGGTAGCAGAAATATTCTAAAAGGAGAACATGGGATAATCTAAACTAAAAACCATGTAATGGTACACTGGAAATGAGTGCATTTTATGTATGTCAACTATAGCTCTACAGAACTGTTTAAAAATATATCTGAGCCAGTTGTGGTGTCACACTCCTGTAATCTCAGCACTCAGGAAGCTGAGGCAGGAAAAGTTTGAGTTTGAGTCCAGCCTGAACTACACGGTGAGGACCTGTGTTAAAAAAACCAAACCAAGCGTGGTAAGGTGCATATTGTAATGTGCAGAATCTTGTGATATGTACAGGCCTGCATAGCTACCCACAGATCAGGGCATAAACAGAAAGCTCTGTGTCCCCTTGCTAAGCAGTGCTCACCACTGGTGGTTAAAACTAGTTTGCTTTCTATCATCTGGACTAGTCTGCTCTATACCTGAATTCCAATATGAAAGACATCGGAACCTATCCACCTTTTAATGTTTATCCACCTTTTAATGTCTTGCTTGTTTCAATGGGACTCATCCAGGTTGATGATGCCATGAGTGTAAGGTGAGCAGGGAGAGCTTTAGCTGATATTTCCATGCTTAAGAATAAAAGTGAGCACACTTTCACAGATTTAGTGACCACTTGGGCATCTTTTTGGTGAAGTGCCTGTTCAAGGTTGCTGCCCATTTTCATAGGTTTTCTGACTTACCTGTCTGTTTTCTAGAACTTCTTCTCTCTGCCTATCTTTTATCAGACAGATGAGCTGCAGCCAGGCTGTAGCTCAGTAGTAGCAGAGCACTCAGTTAGCAAACACAGGCTCTGCATTCAGTCCCCAGCTCTGCATGTATAAAATAAAATAGATACATGAATTGTGACTATTGGTCCCCAATCTGTGGCTTGCCTTTTCTCTTTCTTGGTGGTGTTTTTAATCTACAGAAGCCCATAATTTTAGCATAGCACAATTTATCCATATTTTCCTTCACGGCCAGTGCTTTGCCTGTCTGAAGAACTCTTTTCTATCCTAAAGCCATAAAGGTGTGTTCCTGTGCTTTCTCCTAGAAGCTTCATTGTAGTACCTTTCGTACTGGAGTTTTATATATTTTATTTTATTTATTTTGGGTGCCGGGGACGAAACCCAGGGCCTTGGGATGCTAAGCATGTGCTCTCCCAGTGCCCACATGTAAATCTTTGATTAGTAATCAAATTCATTTTTATACATGGAGACGAGATTCATTTACTGTCCCATAGAAGTATCCATTTGACACAGCACTGTTCATTGATAAAACTGTCCTTCCCCCCGCCAATCACAGAGGCAAATGGCAGTAAATCAGGTGACCAGATCATGAACAAGTCCATCTCTGCACCCTCCTGGGTCCCGTTGTCATGTTTTACCCTTGAGAAATAACCTTGTCTTAATGACTGAATCTTTATAATAATCTTGAACCAGGGAACATTTTCTTGCACAATTTAAAATTTCATAAGCTGTTCCTACAAAAGAAACAAATACCAAAAATGAACCATCTCAAATCTCACACGTTGGCATGTTATAGTGAAGAAAACAAAGCCCTTAAAATCAGTAGAATCAAAAGCTACTTTGCACCACACAAGCCTTCAAAATCCTTGTGACCTCTTGTGGCCACCGCATGAAACTTACCCAGGGGAGGGGACCCACCTGCGTCAGGTAGAGTGTGTCTCTGAAGGTGCGCACAGGGTCTGGGCCTTGGGGGAGCCTGAAATGCAGTGCAGCCTGGCGAAGCATCTCCTCGTTTCCATCCGCGTGGTGCTGTCGATGACGGGTGAACGTGCTGTTGTAAGACCAGTCTTCCTTCCCTGAGACCTTTCAGAAAGTAAAGGTCAAGAGTCACAACTGGGAAGCCGGCAGTGAAACTACTTTTCTAGAAGCTCCTGACAAGCCCAGAAAGTACTCTACACGCTGGGGAAGAGGCTAAGGTTTGTTGTGTGACTATGACTTCATAGATGTTTTTGCCGTCATACTTGTTACTAGTCAAAGCCTGACTGTGCAAAGTGGAATCAGGAGAGCGGATCTGGTACCTTTGCACTCCTGTGTTCATACCTACGAAGTCACACCTTGTTTATTCTCTCAAAACCTTTGCCATATCAAAATGCATTCATTACGTGCATCTTACAATGCCCTCTCATCTATTTAGTATTATTTTATGTTTTTAGTTTGTCAAAACTGTCACAGTTCTGAAATAGGAATAAAATACTACTATGGCAACAGTAGATGTTTCAGTTTTCTTATATTACTTGTTTCTCAGTGATTGCTAAATAAGACTGATAAACGCATGTACTCTTGATGTAGGAGAGGATATGAACTAAATAATGGCACTGATCTTTTTTGTTTTTAAGCCAGGCACTGGTACACAGAATCAGAACAACTGGCCATCCACAGGCATAGCAGTGAATCCAGACGCACATTATACCACACGGAGAAAAGTACAATGGTCACACAGCCCAGAGCTAATTCTAAACAGTCCTCCAAGACAGCACAGGAGTGAACATTTGTTATCTGGATTGGGCAAGGATTTCTTAGAGTCAACACCAAAAGCTCGAGGCTGGCAGGTAGAACTTTGTCACAATAAACATGTTTATGTTTTTAAGACACTGTCAAACTGATAAAATGAAAACACGTGGATCAGGAGACAATATTTGCATAGCACACATCTAATTTTTAAAATTCTAGAATAAATTTTTTAAACCCTTATAACTCAATATTAAAATAACAATAAAATGACTCAAACAGTGGGCAAATGATGTAAGCACACATTTCTTAAAGGAAGACAAATGACCAATAACACTGGAAAGGTGCTCAACACCCTCAGCCATCAAGGAAATGCAAATTTTCTACAAATGGGTGTTTCTAGGAAGTGTTTTTAAAACGGGAAATTACTAGCATGGGCTGTGGGACCCCTGGAATGAATGGGTGCCATCGCTATGGAAACAGCGTGTTCGCTCTTCACGCTCAACGTACAATTAGCACGCGACACAGCAACTTCAAATCATGGGTAAGACCTGTGCAACAGAAAACACACTCACACAAACAGTGCACACACACGCGTTCACACTGTACACGCACAAATGTCTGCTCCCAGATACACAGCGCACAAAATGTAGAAAACACACACAACAGAATACCACTCCACAGTCAGGAGGGACGACACACGGACGCACAGCACGACACGGATGAGCCCTGAACACAACAATGCAAAGTCAAAAAGCCGTGCCCAGGACACACGTTGTGTGGCTCTCATCACATGGACCATGGAACAGTTAAGTCTACAGACATCAACAGTGGATCTGCGGAACCAGGGCCGGGGTAGGAGGACAGGGCAGAGGGGAGCAGCTGCTACTGGCTCAGGGAATCTCTGGAGAGAAAGAAACCTACAGTTAGACCGTGCGATGGCGGCACAACTTGGGAATGTACCGCAGACCGCTGACGGAGTCGCACAAGTGTAGGTGTAAACTTTACAGTAAGTGAATTAGAGTTCAAAAAAGCTAGTTTTAAAGGAACATATACAACTCTGAACTGAACCGTCAGGGATGGAGTGGGAATCCACACAGAGCAATATGAAGAAAAAAAAGAGAAAGAGAAATGGGAGGAAACGGGAGAGGAGAGAGAGGGTTATCACGTCCACCTCTCACCTAATGAAACGCTCAGTCTCGAACATCTACCCATGCCGAAGCAGTTGTAGGAGACACAGAAAGTAGCAAGTAAGAGTTATTCTTATGTGCAACTAATTCAGACTTAAGCAACCACGAGCTCCCATTTAACTTGTAAATGTCCCTAAAGGAACGCAACTAAAAGCAATACAGAAAAGTTACAGTCCTCCAGATGACAATCACAAGAGCTTAGGGCCCCAAAGGTTTAAAAAAAAAATTATTTTCTTCTGTCTTCTTCCTAAAATTTCAGTTAAATAAGAAGAGGAAGGTAGACAGGGTGGTGCACACCTACAGTCCCAGCACTCTGGGAGGCTGAGGCAGGAGATCACAAGTTCAGGCCCAGCCTGCACAATTCAGCAAGACTCTGTCTCAAATAAAAAAGGGCTGAGAGTGCGGGTCAGTGAGAAGACCCTGGGTTCCATCTCCAGTAACCCCCAAAAAGGTGGATTTCATTTGGCTTTCTGAACCATCATGCAGAAGCAAAGTATACCCATAGTCAAATCACTGGAAAATCAAATGAACAAAGGTTTACCTTTTCTAACGTACTGAAGGAAGGCCAGGACTGATACCCATATTCAGATACAAATCGGGCTTTCGGAAAAACAGTCCAGTCCCAGCAATCGCTGTTATAGTTGTAAAAATGCACATCACCATAATGGTTGCTGTTAGGGTCCTTGGCCACCCAGCCCTCTGCGATGGTTTCAGCCCCGTTTGAAGGACTGGACGCCACAAAAGGACGGCTCTTGTCTCCCTGAGGACAGAAATAAAGTGATTTTAAGGGTAATATTTTCATTCAACAAAGCACAGGTCATTCACTTCTTTAAAGACGCTACTGCCAGGGATTTAGCTTAGTGGTGCTGCAGCCTGCCTCGCGAGGGCAAGGACTCAAGTTCGATCCCTGGTACCAAAAAAAAAAAATGCTGCAAGTCCCAGAAACGCCACAAGACTCACCCACACCCTTCTCAGCAGCACCTGTTTCTGCCCACCGGGCGGCGCCATCCATTCAGTGAAGCTTCCCTCCCCTCTTCCACCACAGGGCGGGTACATGGGGGATCCACAAACACCGTGAGTGTTCAGTATTAAAAACTTATCACCATAAAAACACACCGATGTGACAGCATGTTCGTAGGAACCATGGATACGTGTGTTCAAAGTGAGGAGGGTCTTTCACACTTTGAGGGAAGTGATGGCCCTGTCTTTGACTGTGACACAGCTGTTACATTTACACTTGTTCCCCGTACATTCTGATCAACCCACAGTCCAGTTTGGGCCTCGTCTTCACCATCACTGATATCCGGGGCTGGATGATGAGTCTGGGGTCACGCACCATGCCCAGCAGTCTCTGCTCTCCACTGACCCGGTGCCAGCGTCCCCACCACAAAGCTGTCCTGTGATGTCGTCAAGAGCTCCCTGGAGCCAGTCACCTCTGCCCTGGGAGACCAGGTTAAGGATAGACACTGAGGGGCCCGAGGCACCTGAGTTTAAATCCCTCGTGACTTGGGGCTGAGCCACACCTCAGTGACTCCTCTGTGAAATGGGGTCAAGGACAGCACGCTGTGCCTGCTGGGACTGGAAGCCCTGAACAACTCCAACAAGGAAGGGCTGGCCGGGGGTCCTGCTTCTGGGACACAGGGAGGTGCCGGGCCCTGTGTGGTCATGTGCCCCACGACGTGTACCCTTTCCCCATCCCTCAGAGGACAGCGCCTGACCGTGTGGCCATCTGTGGAGGGGAATCCATGGAGAGGACTCCGTGGACAGCATCCGTGGAGAGGAAAGAGTATGTGTGAGAGGAGCCACTGATTGCCGTGAGGAAGCTGTAAGGACCTCACGCGGTACCTGGTGCTCAGGCAGAGCTCGGGACGCTACCGTCATCTCAGCAGATGAGCGCACTCCCTGTATCACAGAGATCTCCCCTTGGCAAGTGTCTGTCTGGTGTCCCCTAGTCCAGGGCATGTGAGAGGGAGAGGCCCCGCGGCTCTTCCGGGCTCCTGCATCCAGTAACTGTGACGGATGCAGTCCTGGGTCCTGGAGGGTCACTGGTCCAAGAGTGTCCTGCACCCAGTGCAGCTGACCCAAGCTACCCCGATGAGTTTGCAGAGCACAGCACAGCTCCAGGTGCCAGGCAGGCCGCAGCTGCCATGCGTTCATACATCACTTGAGTGCTTTTCACACACCCACCAACTTCCACTCAGGAAGCCACCGCAAGTCACAGTGGCTCCACATGTCCACCCACACTGTCCAGCCACAGGCAATGCCAGCCTTTCCAAGTGGGGTCCTTGTGTAGGACCCCCAAATGCACTACTGTGCCAGTGTTTGCCTGTGTTGGGCCCTGGGGCCCAAGCAGGAACAGCCTCACCTCACCCCTCACCGCATCACCCTGAGCAGTGCCAGCTCTACGTGCAAACACAGTTTCCATCCCCACATTTCCGCTTCCGGGTTACTGGGTGCCACCACCTGTGCCCTCCATGACCTTGTGCTTAATCTCCCTAGTCCTTGCGTCTTCATCTGTGAAACAGAGATTACACGGTATTCCCTCCGTGCCAGGGTAATCCTAAAGTTAAACAAATTATATAAAGCATCCATATAATTAATATATTTACATATAATTAATATATACATATAATTAATATATTTCAGTTCACAAACTTAATTCATTCCATGATTCCAGAAAAGATGGCCACATAGGAAAGATGCCTGTAGTCACATTTGTCACTTATCCAGAGTTCACAAACAAAAACAAAATTTTGCCAAACACTTCTGTTTGCAAAGCAAATTGCTCACAAACAAATGCATTCATAAACCAAGGTGTCACTGGATATCTAATGTTAATTAATACAATGATTGTAATTAATGTAGTAGTTCCTGGCATATCATTTATTCCCAATAACATAGTCTCAGCTATAATAGATTTCCTTGTCCAGAATCTCACACCCTCCTAATCCTTCACTAGTAAAGGTATCTTCCAGAAAACACAGGTCACATAAAGTACCTCCTCTCCCCCAGAATGTCTGCCCTCTGGCCACTCTACTGGACGAGGCCCAGCCCCACAACACGGGTCAGAGTCCTTCCGTGACCTGCTCCCAAGCAGCCCTTCTGCCTGTGACTCTCCCCACACACATCATGAGTCTTTCTCAACCTGCTCCTCACAGAAAATGACCCTGCTGGCACCTTCTACCTGTACCCAAAAATACCCACGGGACCACACTGTGCCTCAACTTTCTGTGCCACCAACTAAGACTTGGATGAGCGTCTACCTTTCGCTCGACAACCTTCTCAAACTCTTCCAGGTAAAATTAGTGGTTGTTCCCGATAGTTCTTGGCATTCGAGAACCGGCTTTCCTACAGCACGTCTTTCACCCTGGTCATTTTTCTCCAAGCTTTCTCTGACAGCAGACTGAGCGTCACAAGAATAAGAGGACCCTTGCAGCACAGGAATGAGGCTTCACACCTGGCAACAGGGACTTGATGGACCGAGTTGGTCAAATTTAAAATATTACAGGACAGTGAGATGATAACTCAAGAATTCCCGAATCTTTAAAATATAGGGCCGCTGAAGCAAAACTGGAGATCAATTCATCAGCCTTCATGTATCAAGCTTGATCCGTTTCCTTCGTTCCTCCAGACTTCTGAACAATTTGGTAAACTGAGCCACTCAGGAAAATTACTAACAAATCCCTACCTGAAAACATCTACCCTCGACAACGCGTTAGCGTGTGCTTCAATTCATGAATCACTTTCAGTTGAGGCCTGATTCTCTGCCTTCTGTCTCACAGATGACTTCTTTCTAGGTTACAGTCTTAGGTGTTTGTTCCAGCCAAGAGAACCAAGAGAAGATCTGAGGAAATGACCTCAAAGGAAAGGCCTCATTCCAGGGACTGCAACATGGATCCGTGTGCCATTCCCCTTAAATGCCTTTCGCTCTGACAGAGACAACCAGAGATGACTATGGAGCCTTGAACGCTGTCTGTCTTCGAAGAAACCTGCAAAGATCAATCATGACTCACAGTTCACTTAAGATACACTGGTCCTTGCGAAAAAGAGACGGTATTTCCACTTGAGAGATGGAGGACTGGCACACAGAAGCTTAATTTCTTTTCTTTATAATCCTGGGGGATTGAACCCAGGGCCTTGCACACGCTGGGCAAGTGCCCCACTACTGATGGAATTTGAGTAAGTTCAAGAATGTAGCATTAAAATTATAGATTCAAAAGTGTCAGTATCTGAAGACTTGTCAACTGAAACCAGTAGGAATGATGGCTCAAGTTAGCATTCATGGAAGACTACGACAGGCCAGAGTCTCTGCGTCCTGGGCCTGCTGTCCCGTGTCCACTCAGCCACCGAAGAACCCCGAGGGCTCCATCCCTCTTTCTAGCTGAATTTTACAGATGGAAGAATGGAGATTAAGCACCCTGCCCAAGACTATACAGACAGTAAGTGGCCCGGCCAGAAATTTTAGTCATGAGACTTAATCACTGTTCTATGCAATTAAAATCCTCATGTATCAACACCATCAGATATGAAAAACAAAATACCAACACTATGAGCAAAAAGATTACACAATAATGGTCTAAACTATCAGTTAAAGCTGACACCATCCCATTTTGAGAACAGAGACTCTTGGTGTCACATAACGTATATCAGATAAACTATACATTGGAACCTATGTTTATCATGAATTCTCACTTCCATTTTTTTTTTCTGCCATTTCTTATAAACAGAATAATGCCATCAACTGGGCATATTTAGGTGCTAATATCACATATTATTTTTAAAAATATATCCCTTTTCAAATTGTTTCACGATATACTCAAATATACCAAACACCTAATTGACACAAAACTGTAATGACAGATTATTAAATCACATGTTAAACATTAAAGACCCCTGCCCCCCCATACCGGGGGGTCGAACTCAGGACCTTATACTCTCAAGGCAGGCACAGTGCCACTGGGCTAAATCCCCAGCCCAAACATTAAAGTTTTAAAAATTCTCTTGAAGTTATTACTTGAAAAATGCTGCTTCCCCTCCTCCACAAAAATAGCCAGTGTACATGAATGCATGCTTATATAATGCATCTATCAAATAGAGGGGTACACGGGGAACCCACAGAAGAAGGGCCTTATAGGCCTGGAAGCCAGCTCTCCCTCTCCCCTGGCCCCTCAGGTCACATGACACAGACACCAGTCCTCACTAGCATTCCTGGCACAGGATTACAGGCAGCAAGTCAGTAAACCACTGAACCTGGAGATCCTAACTTTCGGGGGCCTTGGATAGATCCCCACAAACCAGATGTGTGTGGAGAGCTCCCGGGCAACGTGATCATCACAGAGGTCCATGGGGTCCCTCCAGCTGCCTCAGCGGGACCTGGACACGCCCAGGTTCAGCTGATTCTGCTGAGGAGTGCACCATACCCCACCCACATCCAAACTCATCCATGTGAAAAACACATTCCCTAAATTCTACTGCATTAAAAACCACGGTTTACGTGGCCGGGCATGGTGGTGGTGCACGCCTGTAATCCCAGCACTCGGGAGGCTGAGGCAGGAGGATCACTGTGAGTTCGAGACCAGCCTGAGCTACATAGTGAGTTTCAGGTCAGTCTCAACTACATAGTGAGACCCTGTCTCAAAAAACAAAAACACCAACAACAACAACAAAACCACTGCTTACTTCCAAAATGACCTCCCTGATGTTGGCCACATAGAGCCTCACGTAGTCCTTGACGCAGGTGTCCAGGTCGCTGGGAGGGACTTGGAACCAGTTCACAGCCAGCAGTCCCTCGTTCTCGTTATTGCCGCTCCACAGGATGACAGACGGGTGGGGCTTCAGCCTCCGGACCTGGAATTCAGGCAAACACAGAAACCTCCACACTCAGAGCACAATCAGCTATAAAATTTGGGCCCCTGCATTTCAGCACACACAAAAACACTCATCAGAAATGGGTTAGTGGGGCTGGGGATTTGGCTCAGTGTTTCTGCCACCTGCCTCACAAGTGTAAGGACCCGAGTTAGATCCCGAGGAGAGGAGAGGAGAGGAGAGGGCTAGTGGTGTTAGCTGTGGAACACCTTTAAGAATTCTCTGAGACGTTGGGCATGGTGGAGCATTCCTGTTATCCCAGCACTCGGGAGGCTGAGGCAGAAGGATCACCATGAGTTCAAAGCCAGCCTAGGCTACATAGTGAGCTCAGGGCCAGTCTGAACTATAAAGTAAGACACTGTCTCAAAAAGAAAAAGAAAATTAATTTGGCTGCCAATTTAGCTCAGTGGTGCCAATGCCTACGTCTCAAGCTCAAGGCCCTGAGTTCAATCCACGGTACCAAAAAAAAAATGAATTCTCTGAGATTCTTTTTTTCAAGAATTAAAGCCGGACATGGTGGCACATGCTTGTGATCCGTGCTTGGGAGGCTGAGGCAGGAGGGTCGCTGTGAGTTCAAGACCAGCCTGGGCTACATAGTGAGTTCCAGGTCAGTCTCAACTACGTAGTGAGAACCTGTCTCAAAAACCAAAAAATAAAAAAACAAACAAAAAAAGACTTAATATACACTAATAAGATGGGTTCCTTTGCTGTGCTG